AGCAGTGCTGTCGGCTGTGGGTGTTATTAACGTCGTTGTTAGCTCACAGCAAACACACAATCACACTGTTCAGAAACAATGAAAGTGGGCAAATTGTTTTACTCACAAGTCGTCTGTGGTTTTCGGCCACGAAGATGCGCATGCAGGGGATCGGCGTTGCAGTCAGCTATGTCCCCACTAAGCCGAATAAGAGCAGTGAGGGAGGCGTCAACAGGAAGGTTTGAGTGGCCGCGATCACGATGCCCTAACACCTCGGCCACTCGAAAAAAATGATTGATAGGCAGTTTACTGACGATGTGAGATTTTGCGTGGATAGACACAGAGGTGCACGCACTCACTCACACACTCGATCACGGACGCAGTCATGGAAGAATGACCACAATTGCATGATTACCCTGGAGGAGATAATAAATAGGGTTTAGTACCAATGGACCATAGTGAATGTATTGGTAGCCAGCTTTGCTGTCAAAAGCTGTCATGTACTGGAGGTAGGTGTTGAATGCATGTTTTTTGATCTTAATTAGTCAGAGGACGATAATTTGAATCTCAAATTTTTCAATTTCATTTTGTTTAAATTGTTAGCGAAAAAGAATCCATTATGGAATCAATACTGAAACTCAAGTGGTTTAAAATTGTTCTATAAGGTCCACATCATTGATCCACCCATGTTTGGTAAGCCCTTGTGTGTGTGTCTGCGTGTGTGTGTGCGTGTGCCTTAGGCTGATTGTTGAACAGAGCAGTCAGTCCCATGTTGGTCAAGTCGCCTTCCTGTACCTGCTGGTAACACACACACACACACACACACACACACTGACAACTGTGAACAGATGGGAGTCTCAGTCGTGGTTGATTGGGGGACTTGTGTGTTTGTGTGAATATCCCTACGGGCAGGGGAGACACACAAGCACACACACAGACACAAGCCTTCTGTGCATTACAGAAATCCAACAACACTAATTAGTGCACCCCAGGGGTGAGAGTGCACATTAAAAAAAGGTGTCTGTGTGTGTGTGTGTGTGTGTGTGTGTGTGTGTGTGTGTGTGTGTGTGTGTGTGTGTGTGTGTGTGTGTGTGTGCGTGTGTGCGTGTGTGTGTGTTCTGGCTAAGGATAATACCATACCACTGACAGGTACAACACCAATAATCTCCTTCCTTTTTTCACACATTAAATGACTCTTCTGGGTAGATTCATTTCTATTCTCACGTTGCTGGCAGCCCAGCAGGAAGACAGCGGTGAATCTGAAGGTAATGACACACATGGCGGTTATCTCACAGCCGGTGATGGATTTAAAAATCTCCGGCAATGGGCTGATTATTTCCTAGGCAGCAAAACCAGATATGAAATCTGTGTCTACACAACGCAACCATTCATTGTCTCCTCAGTTTCTTCATTCATTGTTGATGGAATTATGTTTCCTATTCGACTTATAGTGACACCACAGTAAAATGTACAAGAAATAGATAAATCACGAGTTTCATTTGAACTCTGAAGGTAAACCAGGTGTACCAAGTTAGATTGCATCTGAAAAAAAAAAGTTCTTTAGGCCTTGCTCTGCAACAAGCAAATGTTCAAGGATAAGACTTAGTTAATCCATTCATAAAATGGTTCATCAATGGACTTTTATTCCTGACTGCAAATTCAAAGTTAAAACTATGACACTGTATATACGTATAAGAACATACAGTAGAGTTGTGTAGGTGTATGTATGCATTATGTTTGTACAATCAGATGTTTACGTAAGCTACACAAGAACAACCCGTTTTTTTGTTTTGTCTTTGGCCGTGAGGGAGAAGTTACAGAAATGTTATCAGCTCCTGCCAAATTATCTGCGTGAATTTTACAGTGACTTTGCGTCCATTTGCAAACATGCTGCCGTGTTGCCAGAAAATGTATAGAGCAAAGTGCATGAGCTCTTACAATAATATGAAGACAACACAGGTAAAAAAAACAACACTGCCACAAGCAGCTGTAACAAAAGAGGGAGGCGGAAGAGAAAGGAAAGTGGACGGCTGCATTTTTCATTCCAACGTGTCTTTGAAGTTCCACTATGTCGTCTCGCCTGACATTCAAAGTCGAGTAGTTTCATGTTTTACTTACATTTGAAGAGCCAAACCTCCGCGAAGGTGCCAGCACGTCTTGTCGGAATAATTTACATTTTAGCCTAGAAGACAAATGTTTGAGTTTACAACTTGAGGGCTGAAGTCCTTTAATAATTCTTTAGAAGTACCGTGTGTTTTTGTTTGGTGAGGAGGGATACCATTAAAGGTTAAAAGCTGCTGTCAGGAACCAGAAAACCCGCTAATTTTGCAGATTACAGCTGCATCAGACAGTGTGACCCAGGCAGACCCGGTTCTGGCACGATCCCGCAAAGCGCCAGCATTTCTTACAACGATGTTCGTGCATGTAAATGTGACTTTTATGACAAAGGGTTTCCAGGGAATCAAACTTCCATTCGCACGTCTCTTTTACTCCTTCAACTCTGTATTTTTCTTTCTCCTTTTGCCATCCGTCTTTCATCTCAAAGCCTGAAACCGGATGTATGGAGACTATTACAGATTAACGGTTTTAAAATGAGATGGTTGACAATGACCCAGAGTAGACTTACTCACAGCGTAGAGATATCTTATCTTCAGAAGGTTAAATGCATCCAAGACATGTTGAAATCTAATGGCTCAAACCTACTTGGGGGGTGGTTCGGAGGTGATTTGAGACTCATTCGAGCCAGATGTTGAAAAGATCTAAATGCATCCGTGTCTCCAAGACTCACACATAAACTAGACTACTCCCACTCTCACTGGTGAAGGAGAGCGTTGCTCCTCACGGGGGGGGGGGAGCGGTCTAGAGCCTATAGGGACAATAAAACATTTGTCTCAGGCTAATCAATACAAAGCAATCTCTAATGTGTTTGCGTTTCTTCTTAGCTTTAATTGTTACCCGTTAAATGTTACACTGCTAAGATGAGAAGGTGTTTCTCACGCATCTGTAAGAGCTAGCAGACTTCTCCAGCTACGTTACCACCCGCTGGACTGGAGGAAAAGTGCTTTCGGGAAACTGCAGGCGGATTGTAATGGGAGTTGTGATCTGGCCAACGGAGACGCGTATGCGGCTTTGGGGATTAAATCGCATCTAGATTTTTAGGGATTCAAGACACCACCTAAAAAAAGGAGTGTGTTTCCTCGTATTGCATCAACACTGATCCCGGTAAAGTCACACGGTGCAGCCTTGGGCCTCTTAGTGTGTGTGTGTATGCGTGTCGGAAAGCATGTGCGTATTAGTGTTATAAACATCTTCTTTGGGAGGAAAATAAGTTGTTTCCCTTTAACGCATTTTACCGTTATGTGCTGCTGTTTGTTTATCCAGATCTTCTTCCAGATGAACTCGGTTTTAAAAGCTGACTCCTTCAAGAACACGTTCAGTATGTTAAGCGTGTGTCCAACGCCACACTGTTCGTTTGGGGTTGTGTGGTGGAGAATGTCAATGTGTCACTAGTGCAATAGAAATGGGCTTTTGTGTACTTTTATCTTGTCAATTTGTGGCTTTTATTCATCATCCGTCCCATCGATTGATTTAACTGCGCAAATCCCCTCAATAACTTTTTATTATGCAAGTTTTTGTTCCTAGCGCGACATGTTGCTCGATGTCAGAGCCTCCAGAGTTCAATGAAAATGTGATTTAAACTCCTTAGGCAGGATTTGCCTTCATAAAAAGACAAAAAGTCAATTGAAGGATGGGATATGCTTTTATGTGCTTGGAACCTCACAAAATAGTACAACTTAAGTTAATTTAATAGAATGGCGGCTAGTTAATTTTAACGATTGCAGTTAAGTAAAGCTTCTTTCTGTGGACGTCACAGCCTGCAAAGCTCGACAGCCCTGCTGCACCCAGTCACTGTCCCGAGGCAATAATTGGACCGTTGGGGGTCAGCCAAGTGAAAGTTGATCAATAACGCTTGTGTTGTTGATACAACTTTAGCAAGAATTAAATCAAACGTTAGCACTATTTTCTGTGCGAGTGTGACATCACGCAAAACTTTGCTTTGTGTTGTGTGTGTGTGTGCGTCATCCGTCCTGAGTGCAGCAAAGACGCGATTCGGATGAAAGTCTAGGGAGAGACGTGTGACGCTGGCCACAAAGTATCCGTGCTCTGCACCGTCTCCGGGGCCGACGGTTTACCACAAATTGGATTTTTCACTCGTTTTAAGTTTTTGTTTTACTTTATTTTCTTCTCCTCCAAATGGATCAGCTGATCTTTGTACCTTCATTCAAACAGCAAGAGGAGACATGAGAAGTAAGGAGAGCAATGTCGATGGACCCTTACAACACATTTAGTATTGCGACATAACAGATTTGTTCCGGCCTTGGAACAAAAGGCGCATTTTTCCCGTATTACAGGGAATATAATGGAACTTCGGTTCAATGTAAATTCAGGAAATTGTCAGCCTCAAGGCCTGTGAGTCGTCTGGCATCGTTTCAACGTCTCGTCCTTACGTGGAGCTGAACCACAGAAGAATGTTCTCATCTCACGGAGGCCCTATTCTCTGGTGAAGGACGTGAGCGCTGTGACCATGTGGCTCCGACCTTTTGTGGCTGGTTTTGTGTTAACGAGGACATGGGACTTGCACAGGTTAGGTTGTAGATACGATAACGATGTTCACGTTTTAGAATGTTTCCCTGTAGCTATTTTTTAGAAACATATTTTCTTCTTCTTCTTTTTAACCCTCCCAAACCTTCTACGACCACTTATTTTGCCTCCTTTATCGGGGGATCTCAGCGCCCGAGTTGGGAACCAATGCAAACCAGCAATGACAGAAGCTCTTCGCCGTCCTCCCGCTGGACGCACACCAGGATGAAAGTTATCCCTTGCAGGGTTTGAGATGCATCAAGAATGCCGCTTCAAGTCGGCACATCACGCCGCTCCTCGACCATCGTGAGAAACGTGGGGAATGTTTCGATGCATGTCAGTCCTTTAACAGTATGCTTTCAATGTGTGTGTTTTTCCAGAACATCCCAGCACTGCCTTGCGGCAAAGCCCTCTACACCTACGAAGGAAAAGAACCGGGCGATCTCCAATTCTCCAAGGGCGACATCATCATCCTGCGACGCAAGGTGGACGACAACTGGTACCACGGCGAGCTCAGCGGTCGCCACGGCTTTTTGCCCGCTAGTTACATCCAGCTGCTGCGACCCCTGAGCCAGACTCCGCCCCAGGGCAAAGCGCTGTACGACTTTGAAGTCAAGGATAAAGACCAGGACAAAGACTGTCTGGCCTTCAGCAAGGTAACAGGCACACACTGACATGTGCTACACACACACACACACACACACACACACCTGAGGTGTTTTCATACAAATATAGAACAGACATATTATGTGTTGCGTGTTTGGCCTCATGGATGATTCAGTGTGAAGTGATCAGAGCGATGGCTGAATTTACAGCAGCATAAATATCGCAGTGGAGGACGACGCTCATCTGTGGTGTTAAAGGTTCAATGTGGGCCACTACTCATTTATTACGGCTGACTCTACTCTTCATGTCGGTTCTAGGATTTGAACTTCATGCAGGTCAAAAGTAAATGCTTTTAGCTATATTTTAGTTTTATTCCAATTTTTTCTGCTTTTTAGATAAAGTAATGTGATCAAACTCCACATTTAAAGCAATGGGAGTTCACAATTAAAAATTACAGTATAAAGAAATGATAAAAACTGATACTGGAAGCCCTCTGAGAAATAATAGATCATTTTAACAGAATATGTAAAGTGTAAATTGGGAAGTACCAGAAAAACGGTATGTTTCTGTGGCTGTTAGTAGATCCTAATGCTCCTGCTGGTGTCTCTCTCCGTTTGAATCGGTCATCAGGTCCCCTCTGGTTTTTGAAAAAAGACATTTAAAAATGTCAGACTTGAATCGGTATTCTCTGGGTCAAAGATCACCTGAAACATCGACCCCATGTGAAAAAACTTCTCTACAACAGCACCATGGAAGGGACGGACGAGATGACGGAAGACACCGTGTCTCCAGATCGGGTTCTGTGTAAACAGACATTTCTATTCCTCGTATTATTCGCTCCTCGTTTTGCTCCTGCTGATACTCAGACTCATTCGTGCTCGGCACATCCATCCGCTCTGTCTCGGCACTCTCCTTGTGTGGCTGTGGAGAGAGAAAGGTTATTTAATTAGGGCGTACTATACTCTTCACCGCAAGGTGCACGTAGAGCATTTTCATACACAAATTTTCATCACAAACACTCCGTATTAGCAAATAATGAAAAGACATTCAAAGTTCACATCATATGCGCATTTCAGGGCGAAAAACAAATCAACAGCTTAATGTTTGAAGATTACGCCAAAGCTATACACACCCACGCTGAGGAGCGTGGCCCCCCGCGGCGCCCCCTCGTGTGCGCGTGTTGTCGTGCAGAAACCGGCACTTGTGATGTTTTGGGGGTTTTTTTTTTTTCTCATGGGAGAAATAAATGTGACTAACACACAACAGAAGTTTGAAAGCATCATCTCTGCCGGCCCTGATGGTCCGACCGAGGCCCCTCGTGTTCGTCAGAGGAACAGAGGGAGGAACGCTTTGATGATGGAGCGCGTGGCTACGCGTGCGTGTGTGTGTGTGTGTGTGTGTGTGTGTGTGTGTGTGCTGTGAACGAAGAGCATTATATGTTTCCGTTTGCGTCGGGTACAATACCGCTCGGATTATTAAATGGTGAAAACGAAGGCATATGAAATGAAGAAAGAAACGTATGCGCTTACAATTCAAAGTCAATGAGCTACAACATCCAACAACACAATTTTTATTTTATCTTTGGCTTCATTCCCTGATTGAGCAAAGTTTTGGCCGCATATTGCAAGGGTTGACCAGTGAGATTTATTTCATCCCTTCATTTTACTTTGTTGATTTTAAACCCCCCAATGACTAAATTAACCAAAAAGCTATGATTTGGACCAACAATGTGTGAAGTCTCACTCATTTCCCCTCTCTCCAGGATGAGGTACTGACAGTAATCAGGCGAGTGGACGAGAACTGGGCAGAAGGCATGCTGGGAGACAAGATTGGCATCTTCCCCATTCTCTATGTGGAGGTAAACCCACAGATTCACACTAAACATTCACACATAACGGGCTATTACAGAGATGCAACAGCGGTGTTCCAGGAGAACGCCACCATTACGGTGTTGTTGTTTATCACACTGCTGCTTTTGAGAGCGGAGCCGTAAAAACGCGTCTTCTCTCTTGGTGAAATTAGTCGGCCTGCGTGTTTGTTTTTGCGGGACGATACATTTCTATCAGTTTGACGATGTCCTTTGAAAATTGCGACAAAACAAAAAGCGAGACGGGATGATACCGTAATTGCCAAATAATCAATTTAATGCACCATGGTTTCAAACGAGCTTTAGTTCAAGGATATTGTCTGTTTGTTTTGTTTGTTATGTTTTATCAAAAGTGCTTCTATTGCGTTTGATTCTACCTGAGCTGAGACGGGGACACGTGGAGCTTTGTTCTGGGGTCAAGATGTAACACAGGAGATAAATGGATAACACTGTTTTCAAGTCCTTCAGTGTCTCAGAAATACCGACTGAGCACCATGTGCTACCTGATTTGGCTTTCATATGAAAGTTTAATATAAGACATCTAATTGAACTCAAATAGCACTGTGTGTTCTTTCTTCTCCGTCAAACATGGAGCTTGGATGTTAATCAGCAGTGAGGTTCCACATGATGTTTCCGTGTGCGGACGGGTTATTATTTCTAAAGAAATGCTAAGCCAAAAAAATGTAAATCGCCCCAGATATATAAATTGCATTATAAATGCAGTTTGAAACCTGCCAGAAGGGGGATTTTTCTTTCAGGGAATTCCTTAAAGAAAAAGTATAAACCCCATAACACCATAAACATGTTACCTAGTGCAAAGGTGCCTGTCAAGGCTCACATTTAGTTTAATCTTTGTGCAAAAATAAAGGAAATCACAATTTGCTCTGCATTACATTAAAGGCTTTTAAGCTTGTGGTAAACAGACATTGGGGGCATTCTAGAAAGATGCGTTTCCTTCTTTCTTGCTGTTGATGTCTTTTTTTTTCCTTTTAATCGCCACAAATTTGTAAAAATGCTGACTCTTAGATGGTCTATCGGACGTTAAATGATGAAACGTCCGATAGATGGCTCACTCATAACCGTGAGGTCCAGATCTAGTACACGGTGTATACTAAGTGCTGTAGAGAAGATCGTTACGTACGGTGAGAAAGGCCGAGGCTGATGTCATGACTCTTCCTTCATGCCACATGCATTTTATTGCTTTTGACATCCCCATCTTTTGATGCTCATCCACAGAGCTCTAATTTGTGTGTTTTCGCCATCCCGTAATCACGCTGCCTCCTCGAAACACACGCGTCTCTCACCCCCCCCCGGGTTTGCTGCGTGCATGGGACTCCCGGCCACCCGATCATATCGCTGAAATTAGCTGTTTGACCAAACGGCTCTCTTAGGTGATGAGAATTAAGCCGCTGGCCGAGAGAGAGAAACACACACAGGCTCACAGGGGGAGCGGGGGGCCATTAGATAGAGATGCATCAATAATTTAGAGCTCTCCATCACTCTGACACAGCAGGAGTACGGGGGCATGTTGTGTGTGTGTGTGTGTGTGTGTGTGTGTGCGTGTGTGTGTGTGGGGGGGGGGGTGAATGCAGCCGGAGCTTAATGAGGGAGGCCCAGCTGGACTTCTGCTGATCTGTGCTGGTCCCTGTGGATATAAAGTACCTCTTCTATCTGTCGTCTATTGAATGCACGCTGCTTGGGTTACTATCTGGATACGTAGATCAGGGATGGAGGAGGAGGGGTGTCGGAGGGGTTTGGATGGTAGGGATGCCAGCAATATAGTTCAATTTGCATGAGAAGCGTGGGAACTCATTGGCGGTCACCGCTTTTCAAAAACCGAGCGGTGGGGACGGTGGCTCCATGTGGCCAAAGGCCGCAGAGGAACAAACTAAGACGTCCCGTTGCCATAAAGCATCTGCACGTGGCTAAAACACAGGACAGATGTTTATTATACTATGAGGAAGACTTTACAACGCAGAAAAGTCTGAAACTGAAACATGACTTTCCCCTGTCCCTCGGTAATCAGAAGAAGAGTTTAACAGAAGTAAAAAAAGTACAATTATAAGTCAACACCACAGAGTAAAGTGAAGGAGGGATGATGTCGTGCCCTCGGGTGGATCTGATGTCAGCTTAGATGAGTTTAAACTGAGCGTGGATGAGTTTGAGCAGATCCAAGGCTGATCCGATGGCAACAGGTGGACAGACTTAGCATGATCATGTCTCCTTCTCTTTCTTTTTGCCTGTTTCATTTTATGCATCTTACTGTCTCTCTCTGCAGTCGGAAGAAGGGCCGCTGTGTGAATGTGTGTGTGTGTGCGCGTGTGTGTGTGTGTGTGTGTGTGTGTGCGCGTGTGTGTGCATGTGTGTGTGTGGGTGCCTGAGCATGTATGTATCCTGCTGGCTTACCCCTTTCGCAGTGCAGATATCAGCTCATCAGCTCAAGTCTTAGTATTAGCTGGAGACAAGACGCACCCTTCAAGAGACACACAGCAGAGACAGCTCAACACAGAGTAGATGACCTTGGAGATTCACTTCAGCCAAAAGCACAGAGAATTAGCTCTTTCAACCACCTCTCTCTCTCTCACACACACACACACAGACACACTATACTGCAGCGTGCCCTGGCACTATAGCGGTGGAAGTTAGAGAGGACCCGATAAAGCAGTCCTCGTGGGATTGTGTTTGTTTGCATGTGGAGGCACAAACTTTTATTCAAGGGTGAAAGTTGCTTGATTGGTTGCAATGTACTGTGTTATGGAGGTACACAAGTGTGTTGCCTCGCTGACCTTCTTATGTGAGCGTGTGTGTGTGTGTGTGTGTGTGTGTGTGTCTTCCGTCCCCTTAAGAAGCAAACTGAGTTGTTTCTGGAGCATCCATCCATCATGCTTATTAGCATATGATCTGGCTTTGATTAGCATATCTATTAATATGGAAATGCGAAATCACCAACATTGAGCCCAGCCGGGTCGATGCTGTACTTACAAACACACACTCACACACAGTAAGAAACACTCAACATTGTCTCCAGGGATTGTTTAGGAGTTTGTGGTTACGCTAAGCAGACATGATTGCGATGTAAATTTCTTAGAGGGCTGAATCTCACGATTTTGTCTGTAATATTTCCCTCATTTTCTTATTGATAGCCTGTGAATTAAAGACCAAGTTAAACGACTTGCATTGTCTTATTGACCGTGGCTTGCATGATGTCACAGAGGTTACACCGAGAAGGATTCAGTCAATTAACACGTACTGAAGGTGTAATATTTGCCTCCCATGTTTGCACTCACGCTGTCGAGAGTGTGCTGAGCGCTGCACGCCGTGTGTAATGATATATTGCAGACTATCACGGAGGCATTTCTGAGAAATTAATTTCCCTTTGGTGTTGATGCGGTATGCAAATAGCGCCACGAGAAACGTTCTCGGATTGTAACCGTAAATACATTATATTTGCATATAACGTCTCACATAGCCTCAGCTGTAATATCAAATTAAGTTTAAACATAAAGGCTTTTAACAATTTATTTTAATTTGTCAGCATCACTCTGCCCGATTGATGCTCTGGGACAAATGTCAACAAGCCTTACAGAGACTGCTTCTGAGCTCACAACCCCCCCCACCCCCCCACCCCTCCCACGCCACCACCCACCACCATCTCAGCAGAGCCAGAGATAAACATCACGGAGGAACATGAGCGCATAAAAGAAAAAGGAAAAACTGCCTGGAAACCTCACCAAATGGCACTACTGAATGACGTACGAGCGGAGGTGGCGGTGCAAGCTGCAGGTGGGTCGGTAGCATTGAGAAGCAGTGTGAGTGATTTAATCAGCGGCAGCCTGCTCTTGTGCTCCCCCCGAACAACTGCAAAGCGCGATAATTAAACTAAAGAAAAATAGCAAAAAAAAAAGACTTCGCCATAATGTTGTGATAGCTCACATATATGGAGCATCCATCCTCACTTTTTTCGTGGCACTTTGATGAACGTGTCAGCTCTATGGGTAGCTAATATGGTTTATGGCTAATATGGTTCACAGTAATGGCAGCTGGTAGTGATAGAACTGACTGCCTATACATTTCATGCTGCAGGTGGTGAGAAATAAATGAATGTCTCAGGGATTACAGACCATACATGATCAGCATAGATTAAGAAAGCCCTAAAGACACATTTTACACAAAGCTGCTCAGATAATTTAATAATAAAAATATAAAAAGACGTATTTATATGAAACCTACAACACTGGATTTGATAAGTGAAATGTTTAATCTGACGCCAGGGAAAACAGACGGAAACATGTCTAACTTTCTGTTTTTACTCATAACTCATCAATCCCAACCAACAGATGCATTTTCTGCTCTGCCAAAAGTTTCAAAATCTTCAACTAATTATTGCACAATGAAATTCAGCAAAACTTTGCAAATCTCATTAAAAACAACCAGAGGAAAATACAGCAACAGAATGCTCCATGGTACCTTAAACCATGAGGTTATTCCTCCAAAATGTCTGATGAAAAAAAAAAAAACACACACCCACTTAAAATACAGAGCTGTGAGCAGGTCATTAGAAATATACCATGTACTCTGAGCTAGAAGGAATGTTTACTTCTTGCATTTGTTTGGCAAAGTAAAACAAATATGAGACTGTAATCAGTCCGGACATGCTAGTAGAATTGTTGCTAAATGCTCATTGTGCTCCTCATTAGAAAAGGGTCAAATGGTTGAAACCATATTAGTTTTGTTGGATGTGCACCACTGCACAAATCATCCCTGTGTTGCATGATCCTTAAGATCATTAAGAGAGACTCTTTTTTCTTTTGTGGAGAAGATCACATTACACATTTGTTTAGCTTGTGCTATTGTGCAAAAAGAGTTTCTGCCGCTGATGACAACGAGGTGGGCTCAGTTCATAGTGATGGAGTAACAGGCCGATTGGCAAGCATAGTGAATGTGTTGTGTGGAGGTGCGTGTGTGTGTGTGTCTCAAGGATTCACTGAATTGTTAAATGAAGGATTTAAATTTGGCAGAAGATCGGGTCAATAGTGTAACTTACTTTTCGTTCTTAAATTCTCAAAAAGAGAAACCTTCTTGGAGAACCATCAAACCCTCCTCTGTCCTGATGTGGGGAAAAAAGTAAGTTTCAATCCCAAGAATGAAAGGGGATGAAAGAAAGGACCATCCATCCTTCGGTTGTGTTGTGCGTTGAGTGTGTAGAGCGAAGCTCGCTGGAACAGCTGCTGCAAGTGATGATTTTTTCTGCTGCTGGCTTTGGAAAGAACAAGTGGGGAGACGTATGGATGTGAACCACAGAGGACCTAAATAAAACATCTGAACCTCTTCCTCTCTCCTCTTGTCCTCCCCTCGTCTTCCGTCTCCCTCCTCCTCTCCTCTCAGTTGAACGAAACGGCCAAGCAGTTGATGGAGATGGACAAGGCCGCGCCAACAAACGCGCCGGGTCCGAGCTCCGAGCCAGCCCCGCTGGGCCCCTGCTCCCCTGGCCCCTCCCCCAGGGCTTCCCCGTCCAATGGAAACGGCTCCAGCCATCGGAGAGGCGAGGGGAAGAAGAACGCCAAGAAGAGGCATTCGTTCTCCGCGCTGTCCGTCAGCCAGAGGGCCGCCCAGCTCAACAACAGGCACAGCATGGAGATCTCCCACCCGGTCCTCATCAGCTCGTCCGACCCCAGAGCCGCTGCACGCATCCAGGTGCACGCACAGACACACGTGCACACACTTGGAGTTGGAGTCATGTGATGCAGTGGTAGTAATTTGATCCTAAAATAGAGAAGTAGAGATACTTACATTTGAAATAAAGAAACAGTGTGTAGGATGTTGTCAGGAATGGAATAATTAATAAAAAAAGAATTATTGTGATTTTTGTTTCCTTAAAAAACGTTAATATCTAAATATGTAGTGAGAACTGGTTACAGAGCCGGCAGTTAATACTTCATTTATTTAATTTTATTGCGCGATAAAGGGATTACAACATAAGTCCAGACAAGCATATGAAGATGCAAACAGCTAAGGAGATTACGCCAAGTAAGACAAAGACAAGCCGCTCATTTTAATTGGACAAAAAAAACATTTAAATAGTGTAACATTTTTATTGATGGGTTTGAGAGAACAACCACTGTTTCCAGATCGGGCCATTCCCGTTTGCATATCGGCCACTGTAGTTTTCCCATGTGGGAGAAGTTTTAATGTTAGCTGGATGTGCCAAATCCTACACACAGTCAACAAGCTACGGAAAAACCCACAATGGAACACAAACATTTTGGATTGCTGTAGAATTTGTGGAAATAGACTTACAGATAAAGTCGGAAAATATAAGTGGACCTTGCACATTTTTTGGTAATACCTTAATATACCTATTTATCCAATAGGTAACCGTCCGAATACATTGCATTACATGTCATTTAGCTGAGGCTTTTATCCAAAGCGACTTACAATAAGTGCATTTCAACTATTAGGATACAAACTCAGAAGAAGTGCAATTCCATCAAATACGCCAATTTACAACTTGCTGTAGATAAGAGCCATTACAATTTAAGTGCTACAATTTGTTTAGTGTCTCAAAGCAGCCTCACACTTAGTTATTACTACAATTACAAATATTATTACAATGTATTACACGCCAACAGTGATCAACTGATATAGCACATTATCTGAAGTAAACTATTATCAGCCAATGTTTTATTTCTTGACCTTACAAGTACACATATACAGTATCTCTGCAAGTCAGACTTCGCTGTGGCTTTTTTTTTCCTCACTCAAGATTTTATTAACTTATTCCCCAATCACCTGTTCTGACAGTTCTACGTTACTAACAGCATTCCCTTTTTTGACAGCCGGAGACTGGAGACACATTGCTTTTACATTTATTGCCTTTGTTGCATTCACACCTGGTGAATTGGTTTTTCAATCATACCCAGGAAGAATGCTGCAAAAAAAAAATGGCTGCTGGCACATATTACAAACAGTGACTTTTTTAAAACGGAAACCACTCGCTCTGTAACATGTTTATCTTCCTGCGCGTCTGTAGGATGCGTCTCACCCGGGTCCCTCCCCCTCGTTGGCAGGGGTACTGGTGCCACCCAAAGTGGCATCCATAACCTCCGAGCTGCTGGCCCATGCCAAAGTTCAGCTGCCGCTCAACATGTGAGTACACCTCAGGGTGCCATCAGCTCCCCCACCTGCAACTGGGTTTTTTTTTTATTGCCTCCTTACTTCCAAACAGCCGGCCTCTTTTCAAACAGAGTGGATATTCGCCTGAGATCCAAACATGATTTCAGAACCTAGCCCTCCTGGCAGCGATAAAAATATTTCCTCTTTTGTGCCCAGAGTTATTGGCCGTGTTCCACCACCTCTGCAACCACATTTACTCCTCCACTGGTCAAGGATCAAATCCCCCTCAGAAAGGAAAAATACAGTCACACACCATTCGCTCTGTTGTGTGATGCTTTTGTTGTCCATCAGTATTTTATTTTTATTATCAATGCCACAACAAGGCTTTGTCATTACTCACACTATGCATGCACAATATAGTGCAGCCTGTTCTGTATGCCTTTCTATTGAAAATAAAAACTCAACATCAAACAATAAGGCGCTTAGTCCTTACTGACAAATGCAGTGCAGGATATATCTTCATATTCAATTCATAATATATGTAGCGATTTTTTTTTTTTTACATTATTTGATGGGAGATAAGGATGACAGGGTAGAAACTGAAAAGTGGATGTTGGGATCACATCATAGGCCTATTAAACCTTCCAGGCTTCATCAGGAAACTCCTTGTTTTAACTGCTCTGTCTCAATTTGCCAAAACTTGCAGACAATATCAGCAAGTATTACAGTTGATGGGTTATATGTCTATATATATATTCACTTAAATTACTTCACAGTCATTTTCTTTCTTGAAATAGGACCTCAGTAGTCACGTCGGGATGGTTGGTAAGGCGCCAACCCTCAGCAAAGGTGTTCTATAATTTACCTTGTAATCAATCTAGCAGGTAACTGCCAAAAAAATACGGGTAAGGTGAGGGTGTGTTTGTGCTACTGGACATCCTAGTGTGGAACAATGTGAGTTTTAGACCTTGAAAGGGCTTATTTTTGGAAGGCGAGGATATTTGGTCAGTAATTGCTTTTTCCAAGGTTAGTATTAGGTTTGCAGTTTTGGAAAAGGTCCTGGCTTTTTTTTATTATCTGCTGTCTGGCCTGCAGGAAGCAAGTCAAATCCAGCGTCATTGTCAGCTTTAATAATATCACCTTCCGGGTAGGGCTAGGTAGACACACACACACACAATTAATACACATGCACACATATACGTCCGGAATAGGTTTGTTCTGCTGATGAGGTTGGACACTTCCACCTTGACCTGGCATCTATTCCTGTTGCCATGGGGAGACGGGAGATGGTCCCCACATCTGTTACCATGGCAATGGGGAGGCAGCCCATATAGGGCGTGTTTACTCTGTGGCCTTATCGTCTTCTCCCGAAGTCTGCAGCTACGAACCACGCGTTTCTCATTCATATATTACCATAGATGGAACACACCATACTCAACACATGCAAACATTGACATATATTAAGACGCATAAGTATCACATTAATAGTCTTTCCTGTTAGTGGGCAGGTAAACAAAGACATACTGATAACACATTGATGGTATAGCACATCATTTACTTGGGAGTAATCATTCGGTCAGCCTCTGTTGGTCACATGACTAAAAATGACTAGAATTTTTATTAGTAATATAATAAATCCCAGGCTGCAATATTAATGCAGTCGTACATCTTGTATTTGATGAGTCAGCCAATTCCGATTCTGAAAATGGGTTGTAGTCCGTCGTTTATCGGCATGCAATATACCCCAAATAGCCTTTAATTCTAGTTAACAAAATTGGTCTTAATAAAGATTGTAGTAATAGTAGAACATATTTAATTTCCATACTAGAATATCTCCAAAGGCCTCATTTTTGTTCATGAAAACCTGGTCATTATATTGAGTTGTTTGGGTAAAAACTGTTTAAAAAAAATAACTATTTAATCAAGATTGTCTTCCTTTTAGATGCTATGTAAGCTCCCGTATTTACAGTTGCCACCTACAGTTGCTTTCCGAATCTGGAGGAAACTGATGGTATACGGTCGGTGGCCCAACCTCAGCGGTTCCTCTTTTTGGACGGATAAAAATCCTGTTGTAAATCAAACTGTGGTTTTGTGGTTTCATGAAGCACGTCATGCTCTTATCCTTGCGTCCAGTGCTCTGAAAATTTTAATTCAACAACTAATAATAAGAGGTGTAATAATACACACTTGTTAAGACTCTCTTTTTTTATTTTAATGAATTCTTGTAATCCCTTAAATTGTTTGTTGATGACTAAATATGGAAACTGTGGAGCTATTTGCTCTCTGATTGAAGTAAGAGAGCATTGAAATTTGGTGGTCTCTCCTCCCTTCTTAACACACTGACAGAAATGTCTACTGTTTTGTTAAATGATTAATTTGCAAATGTACATTCATGTGTTTATTCCCACAGTTATTTACATTTGTAATGGAAATCCACATGAAACATAATTGGTTTTTGCTTGACAGTTTCTCCAGATTTCCTGCTGGCTTAACAAACATTCTGGAATGTGACCGTTGCCTTTGTTCCACAGATACCTGGCTTTATACGCCTACAAGCCCCAGAAGGCTGACGAGCTCGAGCTTAGGAAAGGAGAGATGTATCGGGTGACAGAGAAGTGTCAAGACGGCTGGTTCAAAGGAACCTCGCTGAGAACTGCAGCCTCTGGTGTCTTCCCGGGAAACTACGTCACCCCGGTGTCCAGGTCAGTAGGCTTCGGGTCTCGATCATCGAGACCATGAAGAGTTTTTTGTGGGAGTGGAGTGCGGGGGGAGGGGTCTCCCTGGGAACATTGCAGCACCCAGATAGAAGCAGGTCACCTTGGCCGCGTGCAGCTCCAGCACAGTTTCTCACGTCCTCTGAGCTAAGCTGAGCTAACGTAGCGGGGAAAAAGGGGGTTGTCGAGGTGTTCCTCGGCCACAAAAAACACCCCCACCTGCTGCAATTGTATTGATTGAGTCAGGTGGGCGGGTTGACGGGTACTAAGTGGTGGTCGGGGAGCTTCCTCTCTCTCTGCATTGCATGTCATTTTTCATATGCAGCTGTAATTTCAAAGCTTTGTTCCACTCCTCAGTCATTTGTGTCTTTTGGTGTTGTCGTGTGATCACAGCAGCGCAGCACAATCAGTCTAAGGCCTCTCATTTTGTCACACAAAGGAAGTGGTTGTGCACTCTGTGTAATCGGCGTTTTAATTTTCTGTGGTAATTCCCCAGCTCCAGCTGAAGGCCGAATACAGATCTGACTGAGCAGTGTAATTTACTTGTTATTGCTTGTAATGGCACTCGTGTTTCTGCGTACTCACGCTGCCTCTTGTCACAAACTCAAGCCCAAAAAGTGGTGTTTTGGGACTTGAGTTTGTGTAGGCAAAAAGAATACTGTGTCCTGCCTGCTTTGGCCTCTGCTGCGCACTGGGCACTGTCAGGATTTAGCTTTCATCAAAACGACCAAAGGCATTTGGTCACACCAGCAACAGCATCGTCTGGGTATTACTTACCTGCAGGGGACTGCAAACCTCTTGAAACTCATTTTCAGCAGGAAGAAAAAACAAGTTTTTAGAGTATTAATTAGAATCAAAAAATGTGGATGACCCATCTGTCCCTTTTTGAAAATTAATTTTTGGTTTTTAAAATCTAACTTAACTGATTTGCAATTAGAAAAATAGTAGCCATAGCGAACCTGAGGTGTTTTGGCTGTACGTTGGGCTACGACATACTCGGAGAAGATCACTATTCTCATCATCATGAGGATCCTCATCATCATTGTTACTTTTGGCTTCCAAAACACTCACAGAGCAGTTAAAACCAAATGATTGTGCTGAAATCCCATTTGCCACTTATAATACATTTGTATTATCTGTTTCTCTAAACTGTATTCTGCTCCATGATGCGGCCAAAGAAAAGGGAGAAAATGAAAGAAAAAGATAATTAGAATAATAGAAATGGTTATGAAAAGAAATATATGGTACTCTAGGATAGACAGGAAGGATGAGCAGAGGCAAAGCGCAACAGAACTAATGGGGCAGAGAAAGAAAAAGTTGGAGAAAGATGGAAAGAAATTGAAATACAAGATTGTCAGAGAAAGCAAAAGACTGAGGCGTAGAAACAGAAAATCATACAAAGAGATGAAACAGCAGCAAAAACAGCAGGTGTCCCTCTTCACTTGATATGAATGGCTGCTTCATATTCTGCCGTTATGCAATCTGAGATAAAGAGAGAGAGAGAGAGAGAGACTGGACAGGCCAGTAATCAGATGAGAGGCAATTTGTTATTTTTACGCAAGCCTCCTCTCTCTCTGCTTCTCCGTCCCTCCCTCTCTCCCCCTCCTTTACCTCTCCCCTCCTCCCTCCTTTGTCTGCAGTGCAGCTCAGAAATGTTTCAATATGATAATGAGAGGCTGCCAAAGATGCGCACACAGCCACGCGCACACGCATACATTGTCGAGCGACACCAACACAAGCTGCCAAACCGCCTTTGTGCAACGCCATTTACATACTTGTTGTGGAATTTGTCATGATGATTGATACAAACACACGTGATTTTATTTTTGTATTGTAGTTGTCACATTTGGGATTTATGACACGTTCTAGTGGCAAACGTGCAAATTTATGAGAACGTTACGGATGTTTGTCGTCTTGTAAAATAGTCTTAAAAGTTACTGATAGCAACTAAAACTAAAAAGCAGGTGGTAAAAGGATGAACACAGCAGCCGCAACTCCAAATCGGGGTCAATGGCCGCGACTCACGGGTTGAAAAACCACACTAGCGGCTGGCAGTCCGTGTGATGTACATAGAAAACCTCAAATGAAAGAATTTGTGGATGACTTTTGTGTTTTAACACAGGCGTGCAGTACGCACACGCACACACACACACACACACAAAGCCATGACTCTGTATGTGCGTGACGTGAAGTCACTGGGCGGCCATAACGGTGTCAATACCGCCGAGTCGATAATGTTCAGCTCACTGTTCTGCCATTCAGCCGTCTGCAGCCTGCAGCTCCATATATGTAACAGTAGGACATTAATCCATTAGTCAGATAACAGCAATGAAATGACTGAGGTTTGAAAGTCCTGTTTGCTCCCTTTGCTCTGCCGTTATGAACAAAACGCCCGCCATCGACATGCTTTGGTTATGCTGCGTGAGAATGCTCTTAGGCACAGCTTTGATTTGACGCTACACCTGCTAACATCAGCGTGGTAACACCACAAGCAGGTGTGATCGAGTGCTGGAAGGTGTTCTAAACCACAGGTAGCAATTTTAGTCAGCAGTTGAATGGGGGTTTTTTTTGGTTCGATTGCCTCAAATAATAAAAAGCATGACCTCTCGACCTCTCGCCCCCCCCCGTAGGGCTCCGTTTGGAGTTGGCTCTTCTCGGGGATCGTCTTTGTCCAGTTCAGTGGGTGGAGGAGGAGGAGGAAGTGGGTGCAGTAAAGCCTCAGACCCTTCGTCCCCAGGGTCCCCGGGGCCCTCTTCGTCCCGTCCCTCCACCCCACTGGGGAGCTCTGTGAACGGCACAGGCCCCGCCTCCTCGCCGCAAACTGCCGCCGCGCAGCTGAAGAAATGCCTGCACTTCAGTCAGCACACGGTTAATCAGACGCGCACCTCAATGCAGCTGGGTAAGCAGAAATGCACGCACACACACACACACACACACACACACACACGCGCAATTTAATCATTAAGCATCGGTTTCATTAAACATTCAGAAGCATCTGTTTGTTTCGTTTGTTGCTTGTTTTAAAGGTCTATCGATTGATCACGCGTTCACTGATTAACATAACGCTCGGGCCCAGCAGATTATAGAAAAAGAAACAATGTATAACGTTCTTCCTAAAGTGGCACCCGAGATTGAATGGCTCACAACTTAGTGACTCACAATTTGAACTCCAAACAAACATCCTGCTGTTCTGCAACAGAAGCAGCAGCATTAAAGCCAGTCGTGTTGCATCCCTCCAGAGGAATGTTAAGCCAGAAAAGAATGTATTTACTTACATAGAGATCCGTGTCCGTGTCTGATGTTTTTCATGCCATTCTCTGCATTATCGCGCCTGTGATGATGAGACTCCTCGCCAGCCCTCAGGCTTGAAGGTGCAGAGTGCAGATCGTGCATCTTGCAGCTTTTAATCCCCAGAGTCTCTCATTACGCGATAATATAATATTGATCGGTGAATTTCCAAATGAATGAGGGATGAGAACCAGTTAGTGGCATTGAAATACAGCACGTGGCAAAAAATGTGTCAACATTTGAACATTCAGATGATACAATCTTTTAAAAACGTTGAGCATCTTATTCCCAAACCAATAGGTGTTAATATATGTTTGTTCTCCATTGATATGTATTACAATTCATGAACTATTGCAAGGCTTAAAAGACAGACATTCACATCAACATTAAATATTTTGTTTGCAATTTCCTCTGACCTTGTGACTCATTTATATTTCAGGCTCTTTTGCCTGTAGAAGATAGAGAGACAGTACAGAGGTCATAGGAAGTGACAAAAGAGAGATGAGGGGTGACATGCAACCAGAACCGGGGGCATTGCAATTACTCTGCGTCAGCGTCTTAAAACCCCCCGAAGGCCCCGAGAACGGCTCTCACCTGCATGTCTTTTGACTGTTGGGGAAAGGAAAGCCCACAGAGAAGCCCAGAGGCGGGTGTGAGCCCGCTGCGGGGCGACAGTCGGAACCGCCTTTCCATCTGCTGAGAACTGTTTTCGTGATAAGAACACGTATGTGATGGCTGTTCTTCGGAAGCAAACATCCTCACACTTTCTTTCCCTGCTCTGCAGAAGCCCTGAGTTGTCAGCGAACATTAGTGGCCGTGGTAGAATAGAAAAGAAACACGCTGCAACTCACAAGTTACCTACATAACAAAGAGCTCTGATCACTCAGTTTGTGCCTGCTACTGACACAGGCGCGCGCACACACGTGCGTCTGCTCAAGGTCTTGATCATATCAACCTCGTTCTCCACTCAGAGTCTATTCATCTCTACAGAATCCCTTTTTTCCCCTTTCTCTTTGCCTGCTTTCTTTCTCCCTTTTGAGAAAATAATGATGACCATTTTCTTTTGGAAGGCTGAAGAGAAAACACTGTGGGAACACTACCTAGAATAACACACTCACGCACTCGCACACGGAGTTGTGTGCACTCCCACGCACATACGTACAAATGAACACACAGGCTACCAGAAACAGCTGAATGACATCACTGTGCTTTTTGTTTTATGGAGGCGTAATGACAGAGCTTCATGCCTCTCCCCACCTCTTTCCTTTTCTCCCTCTGTTTTTCTCTCCCTCTTTCACTCTCACGTACACAAAAACAGACAGACGCACACACACACGCACATCTGGTCTACATTACAAAATAAAGTATGTGCATAGTTGTGTCGTTTAGTGGTTTTGTCACATGACCAGTGCGCCTCTCTATGGATTTCTGCCTGAGCACTGCAGTGTAGAAGACCAGGTGGCTGGCTACCCTGTGTGTGTGTGTGTGTGTGTGTGTGTGTGTGTGTGTGTGTGTGTGTGTGTGTGTGTGTGTGTGTGTGTGTGTGTGTGTGTGTGTGTGTGTGTGTGTGTGTGTGTGTGTGTCTATGTTAATGTGAGTGCATGTACATGCATTTATGTTGGGTGTGTATTTTTGTGTACTTTAATCCTCGTGAGCACCAAATGACCTCACACAAATTGCAGGCTGAGAAAAGTGTTCTAAAACTCAGGACATTTCAGCCTGTTTATGATGCCAGTGGTTTGTTAAGAGTTGGGACCTAGAGTGGAGCTTTGCTATGTTTTCACAGCATGTAACATATTTACATTTTAGCAAGGAGGTTTAAATGTTGAACCTCATCCTCTCAGATAAGTGAAGACGGTCAGAATTGACACATGTGGCTAACATGTGGTTAGCTTAGTTATCGCCGTGATAACGTTGACACAAAATTATACTGTAAAGGTTTTCCAGTGGTTGAATCTTGCTAGAACCGGGACGCTAGATCCAAATACCAAAGACATCGATTATTTTGATTCCATGTCCTCAGATGGTGAGATGTTCCGTCTAAGGACCAGTGATGACACCACTCGTTATTCCCTCGTGTGTTTCATGTTCTGCTTTAGTCCACAGTCCTCCTGCTGGAAGCCCCGAGCGGCCCTCCGTGGCCCTCTCCCCCCTGCGCCCTCAGAGCTCCTCCCCCTCACGCTGCCCCGGCCAATCGGGTCGCCCTCTCTCCATGGTGTCTCCGGGACCCAGCCTGGGGCCCTCACCCCTCTCCTCTCCCGCCTCGAGGCCCCTCCTCCCCCTCTCGTCCCCGCTCTCGTGCCTCACGCCTCCCAACGTGTCGCCGGCGCTCCTCAACGGGGACCCAGGCGGCCCCCTGCAGCCGCCATCGCCAGGCCCCTCCCAGTGCATCCTCGCACCCAAACCAGAGAAGGTGAGCCTCATCCTCGGGAACCATTTCAAACGCACACTTTAGCTCAGAGTTAATGACTGTTGGGGGGGGGGTGCAAATGTGCATGCAAAAAATTGCCTGGGTGTCCCATGGCAACCAGCGTGCTTTACTGGCTATTCTAAACCACACTTATTTGTAGATATATGAGCATGATGTTCTCATAGATATTTTAATAATATTTTTCACTTTTAACTCCGAGAAGTATTGATTTAATACCACAACTGAGAAGTTAGAACAATGGAACAATCAACATTGTTACTTAAAACATAACATAAGTGATCGATCGATCATCTCAACTCCTGCCGGCGAATTTTCTATCAGTCGACAAATTGGTTACTCAAGTCAAAGTTTCAGCTCTAAATCCGCCCGTCACTATCAATGGCAATATCCAGTCAGACCAAATTTAGTTTTCCAAGCAGGGAATTTAATATAACAAAACAAAAATTGAGGCCGCGAAGGCCAACACCTCAGTTAAAGAAACACAATCGCTCTTGTTTCAGACCCCTCACTCAGCACAGATAATAAGTGTGAAAGGAAAAAGGAATATGGTGCCTCCACCTCCTTTGACTCAAGATGTTTCAGTCATCCTGTAAATAAAACTCACCGTACTTGTTGTAATCAACACAATTGACCTCGACCGCCTCCTCGGATTAAAAATAAGGTGTTTTGTCTTCTCCACTTCACGCGGCTTTGTTGTGAAATCTCCGGCCTGTGCGTGGCGCGTGTGCACGATGAGCCGGTAGTCCTCTCCCGCCTCGGCGGGTGCCACTCGCCCAGGGGCATCTCGCACACGCGCCGAATGCCGTCCCAGCGTTGTGGGATGTTGAAGCGGCGCTGCGCTGACGGTGAAGGATGGCGCGCGGGTAGCTCGCGTTTGTCTCGGCTCCATTTGTTTCGCTGTTTGGCTCCGGCGTCTGGGACAGCTAATCCATGGCGGGCTGACAAACAGCTCATTGACTATGGAACAGCAGGCAGCGGCCTTGTTTACAGCATCACACTCAAAAGATGGCTCGCGACCGGATCCAGGTTCATCGCTCATCTGCTGAATATATATCTCACGCTCCAAGCTGCGGCGGTCATACTGAGAGCAGAACGATGTTGTGGTCTCGAAATTCATTTTAGTTTTGTTTAGGAATGCTCGGGAAGTGAAAAGAAAACCTGCCTCACTGAGAGGAGGTGAGCCGCTGCTCTACTCAAAGAACATGACATTTCAAGATGCCGAGCGTTGGCAAAATAAATCAACTGTTTTCAGGAGCATCTCTGTATAAAAAGCAGCTGTCTTCGTGGCTCTGAGCTTGGCAGGGGTTTGACGTCAGGGAGGCGATGGCGGCCTTTTTTCACAGAGGAAACGATGAAGCAGCTATGGTAACGGCGTTTGGCAGACGCAGTCGGGGTAATCTCAGTTCCACACGCTGTCACACGGTCAAGAGTGCAGGCAGGCGGCAACTACAATGCGTCCAGAAGAGCCGCTAGAATTAAAGCTGGTCTAGAAAAATACCGTTTGACCGTTGGCGGCTTGGAGTTTAGATAACAACAACGAGGAGAACGATGGAGTTACTATGGTCCCATTTGTTTCTTTCACATCGTCCACGTCAAAGAATTTCAAGATTGGTGAACGTGGGGGAGTAAATGGGAGAGTAATTAGCTTCAGGGGGAGGACAGAAACTGCAGTTCAGTGCATCATGTCTCTAAAACTCTGAATAAATAACTGCTCTGAAAGGATAAGGTCAAAACCAGCCTTCATCAATGACCTCGGCACTGGATTCCTCCGAGGTGTGATTGCTTTTAAATGTTTGAATGTGTAAAAAAGTAATAATACTGATAATAATACTTATGAACCTGTGCGTAAAACTTACAAAGCAGAATTAGGAAAACACTCCGGGTTCAGTTCATTTTTCGGTATCCTACCTCCAACCGAGCTGGATTGGATTTAAATTGTGTGGCGGATTAAATTGTGAGTGCGTGCTGCCATCTGGTGGCTCAGCAGCAGTTTGACCAATCGCACACACACAGAAGGCAGATTAAGCCTTTAAGCCTCCAGGTGAAAGAGGAGAGAGGGCAATTATTCATTTTTTGTCCTCTGAGTTCAGTCCCACCTTCTTGCTTATATCTGATCTTTCTCTCCTCTCCGCTTTGTTCCTGCCGCTCCACCTTCTCTCCTTCCTCCTTTCCTATCCTTCTTTCTGTTCCCTCCTCCACTCCTTCCCTGTTTGAGTCTCTCCCTCTCCATTCCTAACCCCTTCAGCCTCAAACATGAGCATTTGCTACTTTTTCTTTTACACTGTTGGGAATGTAACATTTAGATTTTTTCAGACTCCAAGTCAGGCAAAGCAAAATATTTGTCGACTTGAGCTTTTGGGGAATTTTTTCATGACCTAAGTCATGGCATGTGAACCCCAATGTTTCTTAAATATTTTAGGTACCAAAAAAACAACCTTTGTAACGTTTTGCAACCTAAAGGAGAAGAAGAGACTCATTGACCAATAACGACTTACAATCTTACCGACGTAACGCCGCGTATTCTCTCTGCATGCCAGACGTCTTCTTTCACAGTCGTGCTAGTTGGCAGCCTGTAATTTACAGTAGTTATTTTGGCTCCCTCGTCTTTTTGTGAAGACCAGCCCTCCTGTGCCTCGGATTGGCTAATAATCGTTGCCCTCTTTGGAGAATTTCGTTAAGTTTATTGCCAATGAAGAAGATTGGTGGAAGGATGGTTGGGTTGATGAATCGTGCCCTCACATTTAATTATAATGTCCTGCATATGAGAAGAATGTTTTTTTAGTCTTTTGAAAGTACAATTTATGTATGTTGTCACTGTGGGTGGAATGAAGCGACAGATGCGTGACACATAATTAAACTTAACAGTAGCTTTAATGTCGATATGACTCAATGGACAAAGCAAACAAAAAATGTCACTTTGTATCAAAATGTTTCTATGTCTTGACGTTCCAGAAATATAATAACGTTCAGTTTTTCATTTTGTTTCATAGCTTTCATGTTTGCAACGGCGTGCCGTTGCCCTGACAACTATCCATCACATCATCGCAAAGACAACGCATGATGGGAAAAAAATATATCTAGAAATAAGATGCTTGATATATGTATAAGAGAAACAGATTGCTGAGAGGGAGACGGGACTGATATGGATGCTCCATGCATCTTCAAAAGAAAAATGTAATTATGCTCAGGCATGCTTTGTATTGATCCCAGTCGTCATGACTGAGACAGTAAAATCGGGCCAGCGGGCGGCAGCAACAGCTGCTTTGCATCACATCGTGTCCTATTGAATGGCCAGTGTTGTACAGCCGTGAATGAAGCATGGATGGGAAAAAAAGAGACTTTGCTTTGACAGGTACCATTAAGAATCTCTATAATCGATACGGATTATCATTAAAATCAGAGCAGTAACTACTCCCACAATTATTGTTTTCTTATCCCTGAGCTGTGAGTGAAGGTCAGAATGCATCAGAGTAGAATCTTTTATTTTGATGTGGTAGTTGACTTTGACATTGCCATGTGAAGAGCAATTTTTTTTATTTATTCTGAAACATCAAAACTCCGTACTCTCAGTCCTACCACACTGGTTTTAAAGCAATAATTCAGTATTCAAGAACATCTCAAATGTAAAATAATGTATTCTGAGATTGCCAATCAACCAGCTCTGTTGCACAGAAGCAATGGGTAGAGGAATAAACTGTAGATCCGGCACGTATGTTCCTCTGAGGTCGTCACGCTGAGCTAATTATCTCCTTAACATACAGACCTTAAAGTGGCATCGATCATCTAACCCCCCTGAACAGAAAGCAAATATGTTGAATGATTCCTTCAAAGCGAGGCTAAATTGATCATTTGTAAAGAGGAGTGACATCATCGTCTCCAAGATAAAGAGACACCAAAGCAGCAGCGTTCCTAAGACTCCGTCACAGCTCCCTTTGCTTCACTGCCGGGTGGAGCAAATGCGTTTTCATTATCAGCGGTATTCCTTGTGTCAGATCGAGTCAACGGAAGAGAACATTTCTCTATTTGTTTCATTGATGTGTTTTTCTATTCACGTGTCGGGAGGACGTTTGTCCTCTGTGGGGAGTTTTTTATACATATAAAGAAAAGAGAAAGCAAATATTCCGTAGCGGTGTTGTTTACACCAACATTGTTTTCATCACAATCTTGTCACTTTTCATGATAAGCTTCACAAAAGCTATATTCCTGTACGTGTCACGGCATGTGTGTTTGTTTGCTCCTCTTCCTTTGCTCTATCGGTCATCAGAAGGAGAGGAAAGCCGGTGGGTTATTAAAGCTCTTGTCGGGGCACGCGGCCAAGAAGAAACCTCGCTCCCCTCCTTCCTCCCCGCCCACCAACGACGCCGACGCCGCCCACCATCCTCGCCACCATCACCACCACCACGGCCGCTCGGGTTCCTGTCCGTTGGCGTCGCACGGGCGAGCCGGCTCCTGCCCGATCGAGGGCGAGATGGCGGGGGCGATCGGGCTGGAGCCCCTGCACAGGAAGTCTGGCTCTCTGGACACCAACTTCCCCCTGTCGCCCCCGGCAACGCGCGCCAGCAACGGTCTGATGGTCCTCCGGCCTGAACCCAAACCCCTGTCCAGAGAGAGGTGGGCACGCCTGTTAATAATAATAACAAAAATGAAATAAGTTGAAAAAAACTTGACTTGCGAGTCAATAAGTAATGATCTTTTTTTTTCCTGCATCTTCTGGGATTTGATTTCTGCTCACGATATGTGAGCTGAGGGAGGATTTAAGTTATCGCACCAAGCATGCACACTGCTCCTCGTGCACGTGTGTGTGTGTGTGTGTGTGAGAGAGAGATCCATCAATGGCAGAACCCATTAAAAATATCGACATGTTCCACTGGAATCCCTGTGGTCAATATTTCCATTTACCCATAATTCCCTCTGCTGCTCTCCCCAGGAACACACTAAGCGCCTCAGACCTGCACTGCTTAAATGCTGACAGCGCGGGATGTTTGTCCATGCCGTTGTGTGTGCACGTGTCACAGCTGTGCGTGTGTGTGTGTGTGTGTGTGTGTGTGTGTGGCAGGTACCGCGTGGTGGTGCCCTACCCCCCCCAGAGCGAGGCGGAGATCGAGCTGCGGGAAGGGGACGTGGTGTTTGTCCACAAGAAGAGGGAGGACGGCTGGTTCAAAGGCACCCTGCAGAGGACCGGGCAGACCGGCCTGTTTCCCAGCAGCTTCGTCGAGAGCTTCTGAACTGGAAAAAGTGGACGAAAGAACAAAGAACTGTTCCTGTTTCTGAGTCGCACACACAGACACACACACACACACACACACACAACAGCTGCACATCCGCACAAGGGACGGACAGACATTGGTTAAACAAGTCACACTTTCAGATTAAAGACGCACATCGCAAACCGGAAGTCTTTTATCAGATGAAAACCATGATGAATAGTAATTGTCTTCAGAAACCCACGTCTGTCCAACCAATTCAAACACACACACACACACACACACACACACATAATGGAAAGCTAGCCCCGAGCTTCCACCAGCTACACAGGAAGCGAGGCGGCCCGGCTTTGTTATCCGAGGAGCTCCAGCAGACTCCTTGGACATGGTTGACTACTGAAGGCACACGAGACTCCCGAGAGCACAGAGAGACAAACCCTGCCGCCCTGTCCTCCTCCTCGGCGTCGTCCACCAGCAAACCCCAGCACAAGAAGCATCCGCTCTGCTTTCCACTGAGACCTCACAACTTGAATTTGGGCGCCGTCTTTGTTCGAAACGAGCCGACTTGTGTGAACCACGAGTCCACGTCTAGTTTCTGACAACAAGCACATTTGTTTGTTACCAACTCCATATATGTTAATAACAATGCATGTAGCATTATGTTTTTTGTTATTTTCATATATATATAGATATATGTGTGTACGTATGTGTTGAAATGGATTTTGTCCCAAACGGAGTCAAGCTGTGATGATCTGTCACAAAACAAATGCTGAAATATTGGTGAATCATTCTTCTATTTATACCATTTACATACATTTATAGAGCTTAATTTGACCTTTACAGACCCCCACGTTTGGGTTAAACCAAATGAAGAATGAAGTAACAAACAAGTTTTGATTTTTGGTTGATAGAATTTGTCTTTTTATGTGGAATTAGAGAGACAAAGAATGCACTTGGTGATATTTAATAAAATACCGTCATGATTTACTTGACGGTGTTTCCAGTGCAAGTTCATAAACAAACCAAGAACAAAAGCAACTAATCAGAAAATCAGAAACACAGTTTGGTTTTACTGTTGAGTTTTTTGAAGCAATATTTTAAAACCAAATGTGTGTGGATTCAATGCTCATAGGAGAACGTACAGTGGAGGAGGAAACACCTGAAGTCAGAAAGCAGGGACACAAGATTCTCATCACACAACGGCCGACCTTTGACGACCTTTCCTCCGACCTTGTCGATCTCTGCCGAGTATTTTTGTACGGCCTCAGTGAGTGTACAGTCAGTCTGCTTCGTGAATTTCTTGGTGTGGATCACGGCTTGTCTAGTTTACATCCAGCAACAACCATCTACCTTGTTTCCCTGTTTCTGGAGATGAAGCACAGCAACTGTGACTTGCTAACTTTCTTGGTGAACACCATTTATTTTACAAAAAAGGCAATAAATACACAATCTTAGATAGAATATACTACTTTTTGTTTTTCTTGAATTTCATCAACGAAAAGCTTCGTCGGAGTGAACAAGACGTTAAGTCATTTCCTTTTTACGACAAGCACAACACAGAAATTGTATTACAGAGACAAAATTTGAAAAATGTACAAAAAAAAATCTGTTTTCTCTGACCACATCTATGGATAATGTTACATGATAGATATTTTTATTCTTATTTTTTTCTATGGAATTCCTTTCTGTGTAATACTTCTTACTGAGAAAAAGCAGTAGCAAACTTTTCTTTTTATTGTAAAAAAAGCATTACCTTGACCTTGAAGGGGAGGTGGCCTGTTAATGAGATTTGTGTTTTTTTTCATCCCAATGTTTAGATTACAGGGAAAAGAACTCAACCGCGGTCTCTCATACTGTGAAGGAAAGTGAACAAAAACCTGGAAGTGAACTGAACGAAGTGATCGCAGCGTTGGCAGTGCAACGTGAGCAACTGATGAAACCAAAAACACAATTAGATTCTCCTTAGTCACATATTTAAAAACACATGCAGTTACGAACTAGGGCTATTCTGACAAATACCACTCCATCAGTCACGTACCTATTTCACACAAGTGTGATATCCCACAGGGATTTTTAATTAAGTGGTTTAAGTTAAATTAAATACAGAATATAGTTTATTTGCTTTGAAAACTGTCAAAAACTACGATGATGTAAGTTATTGGAAGCTTCAATCCAAAAAAAGCGGCCTTCAAAACCTGTCAGTCGAATCCCAGTGCCTACAAACGCACACTGAGTATTTACATCAGGCGGGCCAACGCGCCGCTTGTCTCCTCCTCACGCTCCGTCTCCTCTTGTGGGGAACGATGAGCCGGCTGCTTGTCCTCTTTTTTTGCAGCTCCGCTTCGTTCGGCTACATGACAAAAAAAAAAAGTTTAAAAAACAGAAAACACAAATCCCAGAACTCGCACAGGTTTCCCCTCGTCTGTTTGTACCCGGCTGAAAAGAGGACAAACCCAAGCACAGGTCCTTGTCCGTCTTGATTTGGAGGAGGAGAGTTTACAACAGTTGAAGCATCAGGAATTTAAAAAAAAACACAGCGGTCACTGTTCGAATAGAATATATTGAACCGCTGGTTTCGCAAATGTCGTCTGTGTTTTATTTACGTGATGTACACTTTTTTTTTGTTTTTTTGCTTCAGGCTTCCTGGTTGTAAATACCTCTTGACTTTTGTGAACAAGCCATCGGCAGCAGCGGTAATTCCCATTTGGACAGGAACTCAACAGAAAACACTTGCAATATTTTCATTGGACTTGATAGAAAACGAATGTCCGCTGTCTTTTTTTCGTCCTTCGAGGAGGCCTGAGCCCTCACCCTGCCATCTTGAATTAGATGTCGGCCATATTTGTTCCTATGGATACCTGTGTGTGTGTGTGTGTGTGTACGGTGGGGGCCTGTGTATGTAGCTCTTTACATAAAAAGGAACTTTATGAGAAGGTTTGGTGCAGCGTGGACTCTCACGCCTCATCAGAACTGAGTCGGGCTCAAAACAACGGTACATCGAGGGAAACAGAAAAAAAAGTATATATATTATTCTATATTGTGCAGAATATTTATAGGCCTTTTGTGCCATTGAAGTCATGCTCTGCGCTGGCAAAGCAGCGCGCTCTACCATGTGATCATTATACATCGTCTTGTACCGATGACCCGTGGTTGATTTGATTGTTTTTTCATGTCAAGTGCATTTTTCGCAATAAATGCCTTTGTTTTAAAACAGATTTTCAATGTCTCATATATAGATTTTTTTTCTGCCTATGCGCCACAGCTTCATAACGGAGACACCAGACCGAGAGGTAGTAATATACACTCACGTACTCTGATGCATAACAAAACACATTGCCTGTATAACCCCATCACGATGTTGCACTCACCCTTTGGAGGATTCATCCTCCAGAATCATATCTCGCTGTAATTGTGATGTGCGCTCACTGTGTGCTCATTATGACCTCATGAAGCCTCGTGAGCAACACGGCCACAGCTGTCTGACGGAGTGGATTACCGTCATTGTCATCATATGCTGGTAAAGAGACGTTTGGAGAAAAGGCCGGACCCCCCTTCTCTCCCTCTGTCTCTCTTGTGTTCTCAAGCCAGCACTGGCATGGACAAGGTGTGTAATTGGTAATTTCAGAGCTTTGCCGCCGCCGCCACCCCCCCCACTCTAAATGACAACCTCATCTCTCCAGCAGCCTGTCTTCAATGATCACCCGCATTTGCATTTAGAGTGACTGGCAGAAGGTGACGAGGGGATGTGGGGGAGGGGGGGGGAGAGAGAGTGCGTGCACGAGGAGCAGGACAACTTGACACTGACGCACAAACTCAGGCTACTGTGTTTAAGGGCGAGCATTTTTCTGATTAATGCTCGACAGGGATAGTTCTCTCTCTCTCTCTCTCACACTTCTGCCGGGAAAACTGAAAGAAAAACACCGTCTCTCCTCAGAGAAGGTGAAATATTCGTTCACACGCCAGGTGCTGCTGCACGGCCCTTCAGGGAATCCAGCAGCATTCATCAGGATCCGTCTATCTACGAGTCACACGAAGGGCAAAAGAGCTGGAGGGTGGAACACTGCGGGGAACAAGACCTCTAATTTAGCCTAGCGGGGGGGTTGGGGGGGGGCGCAGGAGAAATGTAGAGCTACCCCGCCGTCTCCCAGATGTGAGGATTCAAGTCGGAGGGTCTGTGGATCCAACGGCGATATAGAAATGCCTCACAGTAATCACCTTTTGGTGCATTGCCGGAAACGAGGTCCAGATGTCCAGAGCAGGCGACACAAACAAAGACTGCTGTTCTCAAGCGGGGAAATATATCTCTGGTCAAATTACTACTGGTTTGAAACCTTAGTTAGTACACGTACAGTTTACACTACCTTGATGGAAAAACAAAAATGTCTTCATCACAGATAATTCCAACACATCCTGAAGTTTGCAACGCCAGAGCGGCTTTTCCTTGTCTTTTATCTTTGGTAAACAGCAGGGGACCGAGCAGATGTGTCTTTTACCTCACACTGGATGAAATGAAGTGGAAGTTTGGATGCTTTGGACTCCACTGTGTTTGTTCGACTCCAAAAAAGTACGATCTGAATGCAGAACTAGTGCTTTTACCACACTGACCGTTAGGTACTTGAACTACAAGTCATACTCATCTGTATTGGAAAATATGTGCGGCGTGGAATAAAATAAATAAAAAGGGCAAAGAAGCTGACATATAAGAAAACAGACTGTTTATCAGGATAAAAATACAAAGATTTATTTAAAAAGGAGAAATAACACTGTTAATTCCTTAAATACAAGTGTAGTACAGATGTAACTTTGACAAGCTTTACTCCATGAAGCATCGCTGCGTGTCCCTGGATGAACTAGTTAGGTGGCTAGTTCGATTCCAGATCACCAGGCGCCAACACATGGGGCACTGGTGTAAAGTATAAAGTGGCAGTAAATGATGACTTCTTAATCATGCATTATTGCTGCGGTCTACTTTGTACGGTTTAATGCTTCGAGGTGGGAAGAACTGTGTCAACACGATTCCAGACACACGTGAATAGAGAAATCATGTAAAAGAAATAAACACAAACGGCATCTCCTCTCTGTTCCCGCACACTCGACAAACGTTGACGTCCCACGAGTCATCTCTTCTCACGCAGGCTGCATAGCCAACTAGGAACAGCTTGCGTCAGTAGGAAAAAAGAAACAATGTATATAAATATATGCTGCTACCTTACACCTAATCCCAAACCAAGCAGCTCCAACATGCTGGAAAAGTGGACAAGAGACGTCCCTTTGGAACATTTAGGCTGCTCTTTGTGACGCTGATATGCTCGTAGTGTAAAGCGATGAGAAAATCAGACATAATACAGAAAAAGGACCATGATTACCACGACTCTTAATGGTGAATGCAGCAAGTCGACCTCTAGGAAGGATCAGTTCAGCCCTTTGCAGACATGAGATGCGTTGCATTGCTGGATGTAGCTACACATCTGTTAAATATCAAAGGTCTCTGTGGAGTAATTACTCTGGAACGTCTCCATTTAAGCATGACAGGACTATTGCACGGAGAGCATCGGTTCTCACACTATTTCTCCTCACCGCGGGAAACTGCCACGTTGAAGAAAAGATTAAAGCAATTGTTTATCTGGTTTTATTAATGAGCCACTTGCCTCTGACGACAAATAGACCAAAATGTAAATCCCCTATTGGAGTGCATGGGCCTTTATGATAAATTACAAGCGTATCAAAGATGTTTTTTTTTCTCATTAGTAAAAGGCAGCATTAGAACACATTGAGTGGCCGGCAGATTTCCCTTTCAATATAATGTTGCAGCATCTAGAGAGGTTCAACACGGTGTCCAATAGCCCAGAATTTTAAAAATAAAATAGGAAATACAGGTTTTGTATAAAAATGGAAGGACTAATATAAAATATTACACAAAAGATATAAAAGCCACAAAGAAGATCGCCCACACACAAAAACTTTGGCACAAACTCACACTGCTGGTTTGTGTGGGTGTTTTTCTGGTTAGTGTTTGAGACTGGCCACAAAGGAATGGGAAGGAAGCGGCCCGCAAGGCCGCTGGTTCTACTGGTCATACTGGAGCGTCCTGCAGATCCGAGCGTCTTCACATGAAGCCAGAACTGGAAGAGACAAAAAGTGGACACAAAGAGAGTTGAAAAACACATTACGCAGCAAATTTCACATGACTTCATATGTCACACTGTAACATACATAACTTGTCCGTGAGAAAGTGGCCAATTCTCTACTTTATACAGTCACTAATCAGTGGAAAAGGTTCCGCAGTGTAAGTCTATGGATCTTGAAGCCGTCCACGAAACATCTGCCCTTACTTCTTGCGGTCTTTGTCCTTCTTGCCGTTGGCGGTGAGGCTCTGCGCCTGCAGCAGCTGGGCGGCAGCTCTTCTCTTGCCGAAGGAGCTCTGGTCGTCGTCCAGGAGTCTCTTCTTTTCCTCCAGAGCCGATTTCTCATCTGCATGGAGGCGCTTCAGCTGCTCAAAACGACTCTGCAGCTGAAACACAGAAGTGAAGGCAGCTGAATCACAGAGGTGCCACACCGGTTTATTTGTTGCTATTCTAAAACACACGCAACATAAGCAGCTGCTAATGAACACAAAGAAATACACATTATTATCTCCATACCTCTCGCTCAGCCTCCTTCAGCTCAGACTCCTTCTCCTTCACCCTCTGCACAAACATCTGCCTCATCTCGTCCTCCCTCTTCTGCAGCTCCACCAGGAACTCCTGTCGCTTGGCCTCATAAGTCTGCTGCAAGCTGAACACACACACACACACACACACACACACACCAACAGGTCAGCTGTGCGTCATGTTGATCCCTGTGTGGTTGCAGGTGTTCGGGAGCTCACCTGACGGGTTTGCACTCGGGACCCGTGTCTTTGAATCCCATTTCCTCCAGCTTGCAGCGCCTGTACAGCTCGTAGTGGCGTGTGTGCGTCTGCTCCCTCAGGTCCTCCATGTTTACACAGATCAGCATCTCCCTCAGCTTCACAAAGTCGCAGTGACTCTCGTTCTCCACTGGCACACATCAATAACAAGCACATAGACGGGTTAGGCAACCGGCGGACACCAAATATTGTTCGTGGTAGTTATACGTTCTCTCTGAAAACAGCCTTTGAAAGAGCTTAAAAGGCCATGATAAGACACTGAAACTCCTCGGTGACACAATGACGCCTCTTAACAGCAGGAATGTGCCAATATCAAACCTTTTCACTTCTACATGGGACAAGCGTGTGATCTCGTGTTCTGGAAATATCATTACAGATGTCCATTTAATTAATGTGATCAAACACTGAGACCTTTGGCGGCACAAGCACAGCTGTGTAGAAAGCACACAAACAAGCGAGGGTCCGCCTTACCTTGAACCACACCCCAGGGGTACTGACGAGCCTTCACCATCTTGTTGCCCACAGACACTTCCTCTGTGCTGCCCACCACAGCGAACGGCAAATGGCCCTACGAAAAAAAAGCAGTGAACATTTTAAATCTAAACACGTAAACTGCAGGCAAACATGAAAAGCGTCCCGGGGAAGCAGCCGCAGCGCGAGGTCGCGTTTCCTCACGTTCATGGTGGTGTTGACCTTGGCCACGGTCTCGTCGTCCAGGGGGAACTGGTAGATCTGGACCCCGTTGCTGACCAGCTCGCTCATGATTTTGATCTTGAACTTGTGCAGCTCGCTCTTGCTGATGGTGTCAGCTTTGGCGATGACCGGGATAATGTTCACCTGGGGCAAGACGGGGAAACAGGTTTGTGTAAAAAAATATGACAGGTTCTTCACCGTCATCAAACACACACACACACACACACACACACACACACACTATTGATCTAGAGGCGTCAGAGAGAAACTTGATCTTTAATACGAGCTGCATATACGGGACTATCTGGTTTAATGGTGGTTCCAGAGTAGCTACGCGTAAGACAAGGAGTCCACGGTTTCCTCATTTTCAGTTTAAAAAACAACTTCAGTTTATAACAGGTTAAGGGTGATCTTAGTTTGCGGCATCCTTCATGAAAACCTCCATCAAGAAGACAAGTCAAGGCTGATCTACTGCGCCTGTGGCCGTGGTGTAGGTTGATTTAAAACGTCCACTAAAACAAGCTCATCTTACTGTTCAACAATAGCATGAATAAAAAAAAAGTATACATGTACACACAATCAAATGGCCTCTATCAATCTGAACAAACATGTTCTTTTACTGCTCTGAGATCAGCATTATAAAAAAGCAACTTCACTGGTGTTATCTCTGGCTCGGCAGCTCACTCCGCTGTCCAAGTCCTTCCACATTCCGCTCCTCTCCGTCCCTCCCCTCAGTGGTCTCCCCCGTACCAAAGAAAGCCTTGGAATGAGTTGTTGTCCATAGACAAGCGCCTTGGCCTGACTGCGCGCACACACAAGCGGAGGAAACCCAACAACGCTCGGAGAGCTTTTCCAACAGCTGTCCGAGTGACTGACGGTCTTTCTGTCCGTGCTGCAGATTCAACAAACGCCCCTTTCTCTGTGCGTCTGCACAGTGACACAAAAGGACGGCTCCAGTGTGCATGCGTGAGGTGATTACAACATTCCCTGGCTTTTTTTCTCCTCCATTCACACGCATTCCAGGGTTACCGGGCGCTCACAGCGCAGTGGAATCACACAAGCGTCACTACACACAGCACACAGAGAGCATGGGAAAGTTTCTGACTGCTTTCAGGAGGGACGGGAGGCGTTTGTAGGGTAGCGATCCGCTCCCAACAGCTAACTTTAGAGGGACGCCCAGATAAGACCACAGCACAGTCAGAAAGTACACCCGAGCACCACAGTTTGTGTCAACAATCAAACAATCCAGATTTCACAGTTACCTTCTAAGAATATTGATTTCAATACATAAAAGCCATGTCCGAGAAACGCCACCACATTTCAGCTCAATGCACCAACACAATAGCGGGTCTGGGATATCGACCAATGCGCATTGAAAAAAAAAAAAAAAACACACACACACATGCCTTCCTTTTCCTACCTTGCTGTCTAGTTTCTTCATTGTGACCAGGTCCAGGGATTTGAGTGAATGACCCGAGGGGGAGATGAAGTACAGGCAGGCGTGGACCCGCGAGTCGTGGTAGTTGTGGAGAGAGCGTTTGATTTTTAGCTCTTCCTGTAGATAACTCTCAAACTGCCTGTCGATGTAGTCCACCACTGGCTGGTAGCTACAGGAGAGACACACGTAGGGACGATTGCAAGTGTGGGTCTTATGGGTTATTACATTTCTTACAGTAGTGCATCACATGCGCTCTCTTTTACGGTCAGTCACGCTCCTCCTCCCCCCACCTCTCTTGTTTGTTCATTTGGTCTCCGAAGCCCACCGTGTTGACCACGGTGAGGCGCAGCCGGACGTTGCTCTCCTGCAGGTCATAGGTTTGGGCGCGCAGTTTCACTTGAGGCTCAAAGTGGGACGACTCAAAGTTCTCAAAGTTGGTATTGAACAGCGTGTCCATCAGAGTCGACTTGCCGATTCCGGTTTCACCTGCGGCCAGAAAAGGAGGAGACGTCATCTTAGAGATGAAACTTTATGGTTGAGAGTGAGCATCAGCGGCACAAAAGAGGATGCCTTAAATTAAGCATTCCTAAAATGTTTCATTTGGAGGCATTGACTCAAAACCAGGCTCAAAGTCCATACCCAAGCTGAATGGGAGCAGAGGTGGAATCAGTGTTTCACTCAAGTTGTTAAGGATCAGGAAATATTACACAACCAAATATTTACCAGCTAATGGATAGATACAAACCAGCAGGATCTCTTCACATCATGAAGCTTATTTGTCCAAACTAAGAGTAATGCTTATTTGGAGGAGTATCGAGCACTGCCATAATAATCAAAGTAGGCTTTAGGGAGCACCAAAAGTGAATTTAGGTGACAGTGTGAAACAATGTGCATATGTCTGAAGGATTTATTCCAGCTGTGGCATCCTGCATGTATCGGTGTGTGTACGAGTGAGTGAGTGTATGTGACAACACACCGATGCAGAGAATATTGAAGCAGAAGCCCTGGCAGATGGACTTGTTGACAAGCTGGTCTGGGAGGCTGTCAAAGCCCACATGTCCTGCCAGGGACAGGGGACGGACTCTGTTATCCTGAGGAAGAAGAAGAAAGAACAGACAGACAGACAGATCATTCTCCAGATGCGAAAGTCAATTTCTCTTCAATTACGAGATATGATGGAAATATAGGAATTACTTTTACAGTTTCCAAAGTCACAACTAGATGACTTGGCACATTTTAATTGTGTTACATGGATGTGTAGTAATGAAGAATGAAGAAACAGTAAGATTAAAATAAACGTTTGAATACACATATCGGACGGTGCAGGGACCGTCTATTGGCAACTAATATAAAAATACCTAAAAACATGTTCCGCATCTCAACAACTGGCACACGAGAAATATATATTATTACATCGAAAATTGAATATATAATATCATAACTTTCCATTTATTTCAATGCGCGAGATACAGAAAAATGGCACTTTTAACAGTGAATGTTTAATCGATCGTCGTGGGTCTGTGCCCTCCTGTCGTCCTCCAATTTGCACATCTCAGTAAAACGCGACCTGTCGATAATACTTTGGGTTTAAGCATCGGAATGTTCACGCATGCAATATCAAAACTATTTTCATAAGCTTGTAGCTGTTGAATGCTTAACTTGACGTTAGCCAGATAGCGCCCTGCGCAGTGTACTTTGGTCCAAAAACGGAATACCCTTTAGGAAGGTTGAATATTTACGTTGAAAAGCACCATTTGATGCCCCCATGAACGGCAGATGTGATTTGTGTAAGTCACTTTAAGCTGCCGTGATTTCAGTAACTTGGACAGAAAGTAGGTTTCGGGCTAGCGGTAGCTAACTTAGTGATAGCCACGGACACTCCCTACTCAACTGTTCAGAACAACGTCAACCGGAAAATAGGAAATAAATACTGACCGGCTGTCGCGCAACATCAGATGAAGCCATAGTTATGGGCAGAAGTTAAAAACACAGAAATAATTTCCGAAATAGTACAACAAAAGTAAGTAAAGACAACTTCTATTTTTAGAAAGCTTCGTTGGGACCGCCTTACGTCGTCTACCGTGGACAACTGGGCAGGCTAGACCACTCACAGAATACGATAGGGAGGAGATTATATTTATAACTACATTTAAAACCAAACTTCACTAAATGTGGTCTAAATATGATAGAAGGTTTATTGAATAACGCAATTACATTATTGTCAAATAAATGCCAACTGTGAAACATCTGTAATCCAAACTATATCATCGTGTTGAGGTAATACAACGACCCCTTTCTTGTTTATTGGTACAGCCCAATTTAATTTTCCCAGTCTGTTCCATGGCACATTACGGGCTGTCAGAAAATTATAAAGCCAATTTAGCAAAAACATCTTCTATATCATGATGTTAATGACTGGTGTCATAAATTAGTTTTTAACTGGCAATTCCTAAGGCACTACGATAAGTCTGCCTCTTTTCTTTAATCGTGCTTAATTTCATTGTCATCCATTGGGGGTTTATAGTCAAATGGAACCTAATGTTTGTTGTTTTTGTTGTTGTACTTTGGTCCGTGTGTACATTCCAAAAGCGTTAAAAATAAGACTACCAACACTAAGGCATCCAGTACAGGTTTGGATTCTTTCCCCCCCACATCTCTCTGATTCAATCACAGGCGCGTCAACATTGAAAACCAACCCACATTCTACACAAAAAAACGCCTGCTTTTCCTTCGCTCGTAAATGGAATCCTGCGTTTACGAGGATCACGCGAACGCAGCACGATATTTGCCTTTGGTGGGCCCGTTCGGATGGTTGCTTCAATTACCGACGTGCGACCCCTATCTGCGAGAGCTCGCCACTCCCGACGGAGGAGAGTTAAAAGAAGAGGAAGATGCTGTCATCCGTCGTCGCCGATTCCAAAATGAATGACAGCAGCGTGAACATGCAGTCATTTTGAAACGCGCTGGTTAAACTTTGTCCGGCTTTGCCTCCGCGCTCCGGTGCGGCCGCTCGGCGTGACGATGGCGGCTCCGTGCACGGAACAAGCCGTGCAGGAGTTCCTGATGGAGCGGGGAGGGAGGGTCCAACAGATGGAGCTGATTGATCATTTCCTATCGGTTTCGGGGAAAGCGGACCGCACGAACGCAGCGGCGGACCGCGAGGCGCTGAAGGGCGTCGTGGACAACGTGGGCTTCGTGGAGGAGGAAAACGGCGTGGAATTTGTTTGCTTGATCGCAGAAGGCGGCGCGCAGTCGGTGATGTCTGCAGACACGGACGGCCACGGCCACACGGAGTGCAATGGCAATATGCAGGAGACACTGGACAACAACAACGGAGACCGAACAGGTGACTCACACGCACATTGTGTTGTTTAAAAATACTGACTTGATGTGGTATATTGTCCCGTGTTACGTCTTTGAACCGGCATGTGCCATAATGCAAAAATGATGACACAATGTGCATATATTTTATATTTAAATCGTATATTTGAGTGCATCGTCCTGCTTTGGCTCTCTCATTAGCCACCCCGTTACAAAGTATAATTGTTTTTTGAAGGACATACTACCACTGCTATTTCATTGACTTAGACTGGAGTTTCTCCAAATCAAATTGGGACATTTTGGATTTCCAGCTCTTTCTCTCTCTCGCTTTCCAAAAATCTCCCAAACTCCAGAAACACTAGGGACAACAACACCAAAAGTCTCCCCGCGTGCATACTTGTAAGAATATCAATGGAAAGGTTCTATTGGAGTCAATTCAGGGGAAGATTGCGGCATAGAGGACTTCATACAGTGCCAGACCTGAAGGGACCATGACTCCGTTTTTGTTCCACAGGAGCAACCAGCTCGTCGGCTGCCAGCCTGGACAATGACAAAGAGTCAAACGGCAACGGGCAACCTGCAGCCGCTTCCCCTGGTGTCAAGACCCCCACGGATGCACCTACACCTGGCGGAGGTGGGGAGGTGAAGCTGCGGGAGAGGAGAAGGCGGGAGTCAGCCCCTGTGATTGGGATGGCGGATCCGGACCAGGCCCACCCTGCGGGGTCCCACGGCCAGCAGGCGCGAGGGGCGCGCAGGGTGTCCAAAGGTTCCCAGCGGGCCGTGCTGACCAGCTGCCTTTCTGAAGACGGCGCTTGGGAAGGGCTGGACTTTGTCGGAGATATCAACACGCCCAAGGGAAGCCGCAGGAACTTCATAGAGCTGATGATGAGTAGTTCCCCTCAGGTAGCACACCGTTTTTTTTTCCTCCGGCCTTGTTGTTAGAACTTCAAACCTGGCACCTTTGTTCTAACATTCAGCCACAGCTGAAGGCAGCAGTGTCACATTGGGTGGTTTGTGCTGAAATATGTGGCGGTTTATGAAATCAACAAGCTTCCCCGTGTGACTCTCGTGACGACAAATTGCGCAGCTTGATGGGAAACGCCACTTGGGATTTAACTAGAAATGTAATATTCATGAAGTGTGACTCCACTGCAGTAGTTTTCTGCCATGTAACCAAGAGACCCGGTGATGTAATCTTGCCTTAACACTGAGGGAGTTTGACCTACAACCTACATTTAGGTCTTAAAGATTCAAAGATTTTTTATTGTCATTTACACACTGTTTATTGAAATTCTTGTACTTGCCTTTCCGGAAAGCCGACCAATTTTAAAATATTTATATTTATGTACAAATGAGGTAAGAATAAGGCAGAAATGAGGCGACGAGGAAAACTGCAAAACTGAGCAGGTTGTAAAAGAAAAAAACTTAAGTTAAATGAAATGTGTGCAATATAAATTAACAGTAAGTGAATCCTAACAAGCTAAAGTGCAGACCAGTTGTGAATTAGGTTATAGAGTCCTCTCAGATGTTGATGGCTCTAATGGCAGTGGGGAAAAAAGAGTTTTTCAGTCTGGTGGTCCTGCATTTGACACTTCTGTAGCTCCTGCCTGAGGGTAGAAGCGTGAACAGTCCACAGATATTAATAAAATGCTTTTGGTTGTTTTTGACAATAGCTGTAAGTATGCACCTCATCCATCCTAATCTTCTTCCCTTTTACAGGTCCGGAGGTCTCTGATCAACCGGGGTTCGCGCATACGGGACTCGGTGAAGAGCGACGGAGACTCTGCCTCGATCCTCTCCTCGGCCACCGATGAGGACTGCGCGTCGGTGACCTTGGACCCGCTGGAGCACGAGTGGATGCTGTGCGCCTCGGACGGACTGTGGGAAAGCCTGCAGCCGCTGCTCGCCGTGGAGCCCGGCCTCGTGGCCAAGAGGGACTTTGTCACCGGCTTCACCTGCCTCCACTGGGCGGCCAAGCAGGGCAAAGCCCAGCTGCTCGGCCAGCTGCTGGCCTTCTGCAAGGAGAGCGCTGTGCCCGTGAATGTGAACGTTCGATCCGGTGCTGGGTACACGCCGCTGCACCTGGCAGCCATGCACGGACACACGCAGGTGGGTCGCCGAGTCAACTTCAATACATTCTCTTTCTCACAAGATTAGTTGAGAAAATGCGCATTGCAATTGCTTGTAATTTAATCCAAAACAGAGTCCATTGAAAGAATGTTTCTAAAAGTTCTAATGCAACGAGAGACAACTTTGTCCAATGATAACCGAGCTCGGATCACAGGAACATTTTATTTTAATCCTTGCTCATGTTATGACATGGAATTATTTTTTCTTAATTGGACAGAACTCCTTGATCAACAGAGGGGAATAAATGGCCTTTGGCCAGATAACAAAAAGGCGCCCTAATCATGAAACAAAATGAATATGCACAAGGTGATTGACATCCACAAAACGGTACCGAAAACATCGGCAACACCATTAATGCTGCAGTATTACACGTTGTGGATGGATACTGTCCAAACCAAATAAGGATAAAACTAACGCACACACAAGCGTAATTGATCTTACCTTTGTGTCCGCTGTGTGTATTTGACGGACTGTGATTGACAGGCGGTGCGCGTGTTGCTGTCAGACTGGGAGGCCGACCCCGATGCTCGAGACTACAGCGGCAGGCGAGCCGTCCAGTACCTGCCGCCGGCGCTGGCCGCCGACCTGCGGGAGCTGGGAGCTGTCACCTCGCCGGGGGCCGAGTCGGACAACGAAAACGCCAACAGAAGCGGTGGCGGCGCAGGGCGAGGGTGGCGGTTTCTCCAGGCCAACTTGAACCCACTGCGGCTGCTGAACCTACCGGCCGGGGCGGTGGAGGAAGGAGCCGTGACCGCGAGGACCAAGGGGGGGATGCAGAGGAAGTCTTCCCTGAGCCGACTGAACGCCCGGCTGCACCGAGGGCGCCACCGAGCCCAGATCATCCACAGCGCCTCCTTCAGGGACACTGGGGAGATGGGGAGAGGAGAGGAGCTCCCCAGCAGCCCTCTCCGAACCCGACCACTATCCAACCTGTTTGGATAGAGTTGGACCGCCGTGAGACAAGAACCGGTTCCATGACCAGATTACCCAGACACATCTGGACTGACAGTTTGATGACTAATTTCTTTTCAAGGTTATCGTTGTATGAGCACAAATCTATATTTCTTCTTTTGAAAATCAAACTTATTTTGGCTCCATTGGCGGTCGAGCCTTATGTTGGTCACTGAGGGCAGGTCACATGTTATGTAGTATTTTATTTAACAGAGTAAATCCTAAACTACTGCTCTTTGAAGGGGCTTTTGAAGGTTTATTTTTTATTTTTTCCTATAATATTTTTGTATGCTCTCTACTGGTAGCAATTAATACACTTTTTTTTTTTTATTTAATGCTGGACACTGAAATACATCCAAAAGCAAAATAACGGGACCATATCCGGTTGTCACATTTGATTTTTCTCACAGCGGTAAGGGATTTGAAAATAGCACTAGGGTTTGATGCCACACGGTGATTTGGAATCGTGTTTTTGTTTGCAGAGTGAAGTAATATATTCCTAGAACTAATTTTTATATTTTTAACCTCTAACCTTTGATTTGGTGGTGGTGGTTTTTTTAAATGCATTTCTGTAACGTGAATTCTACTGACCAGATTTCAGTATTCAAACTGTAGTCGAAGTCTTGTATGTTCAAACAACCATGTGCGGTTGTCATGTTTGCACAAGTCACTTTGAGAAGAAATTGATTATGGGAGGGCAAACTGTTTAAACTAAAACCATTCCAGCTGTTATTGATCCCATGTCTTGCTGATAAGGAGTGAACAAATTGTTACAGTACATTATATAACTAAGGGTGTATGTATAAGTACAATGTGATTTCCTCCCTAAATCTTTCTTAGTTGACACCAAAATCATGGCTTTAGTTGTGTCCTTAGACACTCATCAGTTACTCAGTGGGGCTGTTTACAGGGTGGGAGAACTGGTGTGGGTTTTTGTATTGATTATAATTGACCTAAAGTCTTCTGCGTCGGTGCATTGTATACCTTTCTACAATAAATATGCAAACGGTTCATATTCATATTTTAATATTTTATCAGCTGCCTGTGTTGCTCTAACCTTGCATGTTGATTAATTATGTGCATCCTCTGGATAATTAAGAGGTCAGACCCGAATATGCTGTATGTTTAGCTGATGAACACATTGACTTTTTGACTGTTTTCTCAAATATGTGAACCGTGTTTATACCTAAATATCGGATCATTGACAAATCCAAGATTTCATGAATGTTCCCTCTGTATTTTGTGTCCTTTGTGCTCAGATCATTGGGCTTAATTTACCTTTATGGTTGACTTTGTTGGTGTATAAATGTACTGCAGAAACCTACTTTCATTTCACTTTTTCAGATGCATGAATAGGGGAAATGTAAATTCTATCCACCATTGATTTTTTTTATGTCTAAAAATCATTGTTTCTGTCTTCTTTGTGAAGTAATGTGAGTACACTGTTGCTGAGCCAATATCATCTTTGTCTTCATAAATATAAAATAAAGCGGAAAGGGTTTTGGATAAAAGTTAAGTCAGTGATTTGTAACAGTTTGCAACGGTTGTTCCAAGCGAATAAAAAGGAAGAATTTGTAGGAACGCAGAATCATTAATACATATCAAACATGATGTCCAGAGTTGTTATAATGTATTCAATCATGAATGATCGAGTCGGGTTGAAGTAGAACGGACCACAGCTCCAAATTGAGCTGGCTATTTTGTCTGCCAGTCCTGCTGACACCAAGTGATTGTCGCTGTCTGGTGGTGCTGAATAATTGATGATCTGATCAGCCCTTGACACACCAGTTACAGGGAATCCACGGCTTCCTGTCCACTGTGTAACACTGCACCCACTATATTCATAGCCGGTCCTCATTCTGCACCTGTTGTCTCTGTGGATGTGTATATGTGCGTGTGCGTACTTCTATTGTTATGACAACCAAACGTCCTTGCAAGATTAATTGCTATTTTTTTAATCTGATTTGACCTCTAAATCTAAACTGGTGTATTCTTTTGGATGCATATAAAAATTGACATTAAAAACAAAACTCTTTAAACGTTACTTAATGTTTACCAGAGCAGATCAGCGATAGAAAAGCAGGATAAAAGGTAAAGGTAAATATGTCACTACTGTGCTGCTTTGTATATGTAAATGCTCTGTCAGTCTGCTCTTTTGATGTTTCTGTGAACTCTGTTATTAACTAGTCAAGCGAGATTCTGAAGGGATGAGCTTGTTCCCCAGACCGGTAGATTCCTGCCTGAGGCAGTCTATCTGTTAGATGAGTGCCGATCGGGACGGAGCAGAGAGACGATCTGACTGCAGCCGCTGACCTACATACAAAGGGAAGGGAGTAATGCCTATTATGTAAATTACTTTGCCATCATTTCATGCAAACTGTGCCAACTTTTTTGCCCGGGGCCTCTGCTGTCGGACCAATCCATGTCCAATCCATCCCCGTCTCCCTCTCTCTCTTCACAAACAGTTGCCACGGTGATCATGACATAAGCCTAAATTGTGAATAACAGATGCCAGACAGTCCCTCAAACACCGAAGACATGTGCCGAATGTTTTTCTGCCATGTGAAATAGCTTAGAGTGCTAACAAAAATGCACTGTCCTATTTAATGTATTTTATGTTCAACTGCACAACAATAAAGTAGATTTAGTTTGCGTAAAATATTTATTATTAAATCTTTTATTTTGAGTAAAAATAGCTTTTTATCAAATGATCTTCAAAATTATCAATATAATATTTTTCAAAAATACACGTTTGCATGTTAGGAGAATTATAAGTCAAGACACGTACACGCCATTAATAACAGAAATAAATAATTGGCCTCAAGGAGCAACACAAATTGTTCAATAATCCTCATACACACAGGGTGTCCTACTATTTGTACATAAATATGTTTTTCCCCATCGACTGCACACAGAGAGAAGAAGAAGAAGAAGAAGAAGAAGAAGAAGAAGAAGAACGATACGGATCGTTGTGTGAACCAAGTGGCTGCCGTAGGAAGACATGTTTGTCCTGCACACTTCTCCCACGCGGGGTCCCTCTCCCGAGACAACGCAGCTACGCGTTCCCTCTTCTTCTGCACGTTGTTCTTTTCTAAGGTCAAAGTTTACTGCACAAGGAAGACGCTCTGTGTGGTATTTCTGTGTGGGCTCTATGTTTTCCTCCCTTGTGACGTTTGGCTCTCAATAAATCGTTGCAATACGGGTTTTTTTTAATTTCCTTGCCAGGAGGCGACGTTTTGCCAGGTAGGAAATATGATCGTTTGTAGATGTATGTGATGTATAAACGAGAGCGGTATGGTTACGCCACTTCAAGCTAATGCTAACTAGCCTGCAACTAACGTAATAACAACTCAACGACACAACGTCGGCTGTTTTTATTTTTCAAAATAGTTTGCTCGCCGTGTTATCCATTAGCATAAAAGCTAGCGCGGTCAATGCAACCCTCGCATTGTTATCATTAACGTTAGCTAACGTTAGTTTCCCCAGTCAGCCCTGGAGTTCACCTTACGCTAGCTAAAGTTAGCAGGGATCGAATCGATTCGATTACGTTAGCTCGACGTTTTTACAAGGTAGCATTCAACTGACGTTTGGTGACGTTAACTTAACTTTAATACTGTTTCCATTAGCTTGAAAACAGCGATTGTAGCGTGGTGAGTAGCTAACTTAGCTAACGTTACCTAACGAAACGTAACCGTTAGCAACATTGACGCTAATGATGCTTAACATGTTCCTTGACGCTTTGGGTTTTAACGAGACAAACACAGCGTTTGCGAACCATTATTTTTCAGCTGTTTTAATTCAATCGGTTGGTGATCGCATAGCAGAACTTGGTTTAACGTAACTTATTTAACGCTGTTAGCACTTGTTAGCTGTTGTTGAAATAATACTAACGTTTGTTGTCGTTGTCTCCTCAACCTTCCCGCAGCTTCCCGTCATGTCTGCTACAATGACCACGATTGTCCACGATACCACGGAAGCCGTGTGCTTCTCCTCGGAGTTCAACCTGTACCTCAAGCCCATTGCCAAAATGACCATCAGCGTGGCTCTGCCACAGCTGAAGCTGCCGGGCAAGAGCATCTCAAACTGGGAAGTAATGGAGAGGATCAAGGCCATGGTAGCTCCGGAGCAGTTCTCGGCCCTGCGGATCTCCAAGAGCACCATGGACTTCATCCGCTTTGAGGGCGAGGTGGAGAACAAGACGGTGGTTAAGAGCCTGCTGTCTCGCCTGGATGGGAAGACCATCAAGCTCAGTGGATTTACTGATGTGCTGAAGGTAAAGCTGACGTTATTTATCAAAGTGAAATTGTTGCGTAATAATCTGGCGGCTGAATTCATATTGACCTTATTCTTTTCTCGCTCCCTCGTCCCTCAGGTCCGTGCAATAGAGAACAAAGTGGACTTCCCGACACGTCACGACTGGGACTCCTTCTTCCGCGACGCCAAGGACATGAATGAGAGTCTGCCGGGGGAGAGACCGGACACCATCCACCTAGAGGGACTCCCTTGCCGCTGGTTCAGCCGGAAGGACAGCCCGTACCCAGACCGTCCCTCTGAAGACGTCCTCATTTCGGTCTTTGAGACATTTGGCAAGGTGGGCCGTGTTTCTATTTTTATTAAGAATTAAGAGAGATTATACAACACATGTATTGACCTCTATCCATCATGAAACTGGTTGATTCTGCGTGCATTGAATTCTGTTAATAGCTGAAGTCATCAAATACATATAATTCAGAGATGTAATTACAGTATGCCAGTTTTCGATAGTAGAAATTCCGCCATAAACAACGTTGTATTTAATGTTTTCGATATGCCACCTTTTTGCTCATAGGTGCGACACGTTGACATCCCTATGCTGGACCCGTACCGGGAGGAGATGCTGGACAAGAACTTCAACACTTTCAGTTTCGGGGGTCACCTGAACTTCGAGGCTTATGTCCAGTTCCAGGAGTACGACGGCTTCACCAAGGCAATGGACACCCTGCGCAGCATGAAGCTGATGCTGAAAGGAGACGATGGAAAGGCAGTGGCCTGCAACATCAAGGTACTGAAGGCTCTCGGGGGTGTACAATAGCCTTGTTGGTCGTCATGGCAAGAACACAGGAAGGAAAGATTTTTCCATTTTCTCAATTATTTAACTGTAATCCTTAAAATATTTCCGTGGGCATCCTAGAGAAATTGATCACACCTAACTAAGGTGTTTAGAGACACATTTTTACAATAAGGCAAGTAGTCAGCGTTGTCAGATAGTGTGTTGCTAATCACACTCGCCAACACGATAACATTGCAATAACATGGGAGATCAATTTGTAACACAAATATTCACTTAAAATGCAAAAAGTCATCGTAAAGGGTTATATGAAATCTGCATATCTTTTGTGTTTTACATTTGAGGCAACAAGTAAGTTGCAACCGCCACAGTGATATTGCAGACTTCAGTAATACGATTATGCTGTTCAGAGCAGCTTCAAGACCTTTTAGTGGAACGAGAATTAAAGCTGCGTCGTGGCTATTTCCAAGAGGATCAGGGTAGGAGAGCCAGAGGTCTTGTTGTCCATAGAATATATCTTCAGTGTCAAAAATAAATTGGAGGGGAGAAAATGGATACAAGAAGAAGAAGAAGAAAATAATAAGATATTTAGATTTGATTATGACATTCAATTGCATAAGTAAAGAACAAAGCATTTCACAATCTCACCAGCTCTTGCTTTGAACACGGTGACCTTCATAACCCGACCCGATGATAAGTATTGTCCTGAGTCAGTCTTATCCAAACCACAGTCACGATGTAATCCTCAGGTTCTTACACAAGTTACTCTTGATTTAAATTTGAAGTTGTCGTTGTGTTTTTACCACGTGTTCATTGCTGGAAGGAATGACCTGCCATCCTAGAATAACCTAAACCCATTTGTTTGGAGTTGTTGGAGTGCTGGATCCGTATTACTTATTTTACTCTCTATTTTGACATTGTTGAGTCTGGTTTTGCTAAATCGGCTGAAATTACCAACACCGCACAAAAGATGGTACAGATCTCCATGGATATTATCGACGACAATCTCATAAACACTCAGACACTAATATTTTTTGGAAAGAATATGCTAACAGGATAATTTAAGATACTTAATACCGTGTGTACCGTGAACTATCTTCTTGTGACCGTTGTATTGGTGTGTTTTCCTGAAGGTCTCCTTTGACACCAGCAAACACCTGAGTGAGTTGGCGCTGAAGAGGAGGAACCTGGAGAGGCTCAAGTTACAGGAGCTGGAGAGGCAGAGGGAGGAGCAGAAACGACAGGAGAAGGAAGATGAGGAGCGACGCAAGGAGGAGGAGAGGTACAACGGGAGGCGAAAAGAGAAATGGAAAGACGTTATTAAAACATTGATATCAGTAGTCTTATTTTGAGCAATTAATCCTAATGCATGGCTACCTATTTCTGCATCGATATGGAAGGAAGGAAGATCAGGCAACATTAAACTGTTTAAGAACAAGTGACGGCTGTAATGTGCTTTTTGGCAAATGAGGCAGCGCGTTTTGTTCTGTGTTGGGGGAGATTTGGGGTAGGAATTAAAATGTTTGTGGGGGGGGGATGTAAAGGTAGTAAAGATAGAACAAGCGATGGAATTCATTTTCACTGTAATATTGAGTGAATAACAATAAAAGTAATACTTTTTTTACTGGACCAATAAAAGTAACAATGCATTGCTGCACAGCCCTTGTGACTGGATATATAGCAAAAAGGTGCCGGCTGCAACAGATGATCATGTAATGGAAAATGTCCCTTTTTGTTCAGAAAACAGAAGGAGCAGGAAGAGGAGGAGAAGGAGAGGAGGAAGGAGGAGAAGATACGAAAGCGAGAGCAGAAGCTGCGGGAGAGAGAGGAGCGGAGGAGCATGAAGAAGGTGAGGCGACAGCAGCAAGAGGAGCAGAAGAAGCTGCAGATGAAGATCGCCATGGAGGAGAGGAGGCTGCTGCTTGCTCAGCGCAACCTGGAGTCCATTCGTCTCATCGCTGAGCTCCTGGCCAGGGCCAAGGTACTGCGTGCACACAAAGATACACATCAAATACACTCGTAGACCACCTTCATATTTGTTCCTAAACGCTGGTCCCAACTGTCATTTTGCTAGTGATGTTTCTCTTACTCGTCTCTCTCTCCATTGTGTCCTCCTCCTCTCCAGGACCAGAAGCAGGAGCAGCAAGAGAAACAGAGAGCTGAGCGGGAGGAGCTGGAGAGGCAGGAGCAGGCTCGTCAGAAAGAGGAGCTGTCTCGTCTTCAGCAGCTGGAGGCCCGCAGACGCAAGCAGGAGGAGGAGCTCCGCAGGGTGGAGGTGGAGAAGGAGCGATCCCTGGAGCTCCAGCGGCGTGAGAAGGAACTCCGGGAGAAACTGCTTTGCAACCTGGTGAAGAAGAGCAGCGGCAACGCCACGAGACCCCCAGGCGCACCGGACCAGGCGGGCCCCGTGGCGAGCGAGGAGGCCTCCGACCCTCGGGGCAATGATGTGATGTTCGGAGTCCTGGGTCGGATGTACGGAGTGAAGGCAATGGAGAGTGCAGAGAAGCAGGTGTCCAAAGCCGCTCCGCATTCACAAGCTCTCGGCAAAAAACGAACAACGGAGGAAAGGAGAGTAGGGGAGGACGCGAAGAAGGACCGGGAGAGAAGGAGGGACGAGGAGGCGGCGGTGGCGAGGAGGCGACACAGTAGGGAGCATGCGAGTGACCGGAACCACTCCCCCCGAAAACGGAGCTCACACAGCCGAGGGAGGAGGAGGCGCTCTCCGAGCTGCAGCAGGAGGCGAAGGAGCTCCAGCCAACGGAGAAGGAGCTCCAGCCGCCACAGGAGGAGCCTCAGTCGCCGCGGCAGCCGGAGGTGCAGCCACAGCAATCACAGCAGGAGCACAAGCTCCAGCCGGGACAGGAGCCGGAGCAGCAGCGGAAGGAGCTACAGCGGAGAGAGGAGCAGCATGCGGAGTCGGCACAGACACATCCGAGGCAGCTCCAGGAGCAGAGACGGGGGGAGTCACAGCCATTACAGGCACAAGAGACACAGCAACAGCAGAGACCGGAGCCACTTCAGACGATGCTGATCACCACTTTATGGATTTCCCCGTTGCAGCTAAAAGTTCTGGAGTTTCTGGAGAAGATGTTCATTTTAAGTACGTAATGTCACAGAGCACTGAAAGGCTTCCTGCAGAACAGGGAGAGAAATAGATCATCTCGTATCAAAGTGGACTCACAATCACAGAATCCGAAGTGAAACCGTAGATATAAGCGTTCCTGTATGTGTGTGTGTGTGTGTGTGTGTGTGTGGGAGGCTTGTACCTCATTGCAGTTGCTTTTACATTTTGTTTTGCCCGCATGCTATTTCAATGCATCTATGACTAAATTTGTAACTTCTTTTTATAATTCTTCTTATATTTCACCTTACAGCGTTAAAGACATGCATCATCATTTGCACTGAAGGACAGTATAACTAAAATGAATACACTTATTAGGGTATTTAAATTTGATTAATTCGCATTGTTCTAATTAGAATGTGTTTTTTTTTTTTTGCTCGCAACTTTTCTTTTTCTGTAAACAACCGTTAGTAGTAATAGGGGGAAAGTTTAAATGTTTTTTGTTATTCTGAATTGGCTCGAGCCTCGTCAGCCTGACTGCAGAACACACAACGCGGGTTGTGTACCGACATGGCGGCTCACGCGCTGTCAGACCCGATGGCTGCTTTGGTCGTTCCATCACGAACGTGGAAGGTTCTCTAATGATAAACAAGCGTCGACCTTTAGGTTCTCCAGCAAACTGATGTCGCAGTCCCACGTCAGCTGCCTGAAATGTTTCTTGGAATGCTGCTTTTTTATTTGTTGTGTTGTGATCAGCAGCTCATTAAAAGACTAAATGACTCTTCATCACGCTCAGTCACGCGGGAGCGTTTCTTTGATCACAAAGCTTCAACCCACAGAGACTAATTTGATTTATTTACAAATTTTGTGTTGAAGTTTGTTCAAAAAGGTATTTGTTGGACTCAGTGGTTCTCCTTTTTCTTCTGTTAAGTTTTGAATGAAAGAATTGAGACCTGTTTCATCCCGTCAAGAGCTTTTCCAAGTCTGGGTCAAAATGTATTTTTTCCCAAAAAGCTTCTGCGACTAAAGTGAAACCTGCACCGTACCAGCGAGATGTAAGGTCTCTTGCTTCGTGCTGGATTTATTTCTATACGCTTCTCTCTCTTTGTTGTATTTCAGCTTTGGGGAATCCAATGGTTCTGTTGACATTACTAAAAGCTCAGGGTGTCTAAAAGCATGTCATGCAAACACATTCAAATAAAAATGTCATCAGTCATATTACAAACGGCTCTTTACGATCTCAAAACTGTATGAAAGACCTGGGTGACACCGCTGGTTTAATACACTTTCTATATGAATAATTAATAATCTGATTCTGTGTGTGTGTAATATCATTATCGTCTGTGCCATTGGGTCCGATGCTATTAGTCTCTCAGCAGCAGTGCAATCGGGCCTTATGGAGGCGAGAAGGGCAGCACGTCCTTACCAACGTTTTCCCCCTCGCAGCTTTGCGAATGCAGAAGCGCAGTTTGGGGGTCACGAAAACACACCTGATGGCCGACTCCCATCGGCCCATCGGAGTGCGTGTGAGTGATTATGAACAAGGCAGCAGTGTGTTTCTTTGTCCCGTGCGGACTGAGCCCCCCGCTCTAATCTGGGTTATCTGGCTGTAATCAGCTTAGGCCCACTGCGGCTCTGCAGGCGGCTGCTGGGTGGGCACTTTGTGTGTTCGCTTCATTCTGGCTACGCCCGCTGCGTCGCTCTCACACGCATGTAGAGGGGCCTCAGGAGCCACAGCAAGCTCGCCGGGGCTGGGGGGCCAAGTTCACTTTGGAGGAGCACGGTAGTCCTTTCCAAACCCGCGGCGATGGCTGAGAGTGGAGAGATGATGGGACCGTCGGAGGGAACGCCCGCTGCTGACACTTTCCCCAAAAAGATACTGGAATACATGGAAGGCTTCCTCGTCTCCAAGGTAACGTGCACACTCACCTCCAGGGGGCCGTTGCAGGGACGCAGACAAACCTGCTAAGTTTTGGAAATAGTCCTACAGATCGTATGTTTAAACTGGAGCCGTGTAGGGAAAATCGGTTTCATCCCATGTGCCGTTCATGTGGATGGTCATTCGTATAAGTTGTTTGAAGTGGATCGCTGTGGATTGCCATGCTTGTACACAAAGACGAGAAGACTCAAATCATAAAGTTACCAAATCATGGCAAATATTTGCAGATGAAGTTACTTAAATATGGTGTATAAAATATAATCATGAACTTAAAATGTACATCACAAAACAAATTACATCAAAGATGATCCGTCAATCCTCAAATACGTTGGACATTTCATATAATTAATGGAACATTCCAAAGACACCCTCTTGTGGAGAGGAGGGCGAAAAGCCTGCAGCTTCTAATACAAGAGTTTCTCCTCCTTGAGGGTTGATTCAACATATTACAAAAATATTTTTTTTTATAAGCTAAAATGATTAAGTAATTACCTAATACAATATATTGTCATTATAATCTTATAGATTATTCTGTGTAGCTTCATTGAGAAATAACAGATAAGCTACTAAATGATTTTTGTAATTAATTGTCATCAATGGGGTTTTCTGAACTACTTTGAGCCACGTGACCAACCTCAGGTCAATTTACTACACTTTGTATTAATTAAACTATAATGGATACTTCCTCATAAAGATTTCATTACACAATCCCAATAAACAAATCGTTGCAGGAGCTAATTGGGATATTGCATGGAAAACATAAGTACAAATGGGAAGTGAAAGAATATAAATGAAGTAACAACTATATGCGGTGTAAAATTGTCTCCTTACTATTTAGTACTTTTGATCCTTCCCTGTACATCGTAATGATCCCCTCGGCTGAGTTTAATGAAGCACCACAAAAAACGATGACCTTCAATGGACAGATTGATACTGCAGCTCTGCCCGTTTCCTGCTTTGGTACATGAATGGATGTCTCCTGCGTCTCCCTGGGGGCCCAGACGGTGTTCTCGGCCTGCGAGCTGGGTGTGTTTGATGTGCTGCTGGCTGCGGACCACCCGCTGTCTGCAGAGGAGGTCAGCCGGGCGGTCGGAGCAAGTCTGGACGGCACTGAGAGACTGCTGGCTGCCTGCGCCGGCCTGCAGCTCCTCAACACACACCGGCAAGATGGACAAGGTGTGGAACAAAAAAAAAAAAAACTCCAACACTCCACTCCGAGTGTTTTTTTTACAATTGACTAAACATAATTTTCAGATGTTTCAAGTTCAAACTGCTTCACCGCTGCAGTGATCCGTTCCCATTGACCTCGTCCCCTTTCCTCTTCGTCCCGCGCCTTGTTCCAGTGTTGTACAGTAACAGCGAGCAGGCCAGAGTCTACCTGACCCGCTCCAGCCCCGTGTCCCTCTACCATTCCATCCAGTACAGCTCCAGAACCATCTACCTCTGCTGGCACTACCTGACCGACGCCGTCAGGTCAGCACGCTCAGCCTTTTCAAAAACTGGGAAGCAGTAAACAAAATGTTGTTTTAAAATTGTTTAAAAAGATAATCCTGTCATATTTTCCCCACCAAGTACAAAGCTATGTGCAAACTAAAGTGATCAGTGTTTATGATTTGAATGATATCCAACACTGAAAAACAGCCAATCCTTCAATTTGAGGAGACCAATTTACTAAAGTACTCAAAAATGACAAATTTTTCTTGTCATTTGAATTAGTGACTGATGGATGATTATTAATTATTCTATGCTGCAAGAGATGCAGTTAACGGATTATACAAAAAAGGAAGATGTTTGTATATTAGTATTTGTTTCACTGAACATTGATGTGATTTGTTATAGTTTCCTTGTACCTCGTGGCTTCATTTTATCAGTTTGTCCTCTCATTGAGTGTCTGGGTCAGTTTGTGTTGTGATAGCGAGGTACTATCACTTTAAAAATGTAAGATTATTTTCTAGAAGAACATCCGTCAGTGGCCAAAGTATAACTTGCACAACGACACAAAATGTCAAACCAAAAAGAACAAGCACCAATCAGGACTAACGGGGGCCGGCGGCTTCGTCAAAAAGCAAATACAGTGATTAAATAAATGAGGATGCTGTTCATCAAGAAGTACAGAACCACACACAGGAGCTGTGAGAGCGACAGGTTGGATCAGCAGGCAGAGGATGTGGATTCCCGTCCTCCTCTCTTTGTTTGAACAGTGTCTCAAGATGGATTTTTAGCTCATTGTTAGCCAGCAGACACCCTGAAAACAGACGGAAGTAAAGACGGCATCTAAGGAATAAAAGGCAGCTTCAGCAGCAGGATGATGATGATCTGTGTGGGTTGTGGGACGATCTGGCTTTGTGTACCCTCACTTCTTCATGTCAGGTGTGTCTGTGCCTCGTTCCAGAGAGGGAAGGAACCAGTACGAAAAGGCGTTTGGAGTCAGCTCCAACGACCTGTTCCAGGCTCTCTACAGGTAAGCAGCCGCCTCGGGATGAAAACACAAATTCCTGCTCATTTTGCATTCCTACCGCTGTCTCTCCATCTTACGCCGGCCTGTCACCCTCCTCGACCCCGAACAAAAGAGAGTCTCTGGATTTCTTAAAAGATGGGTGAGGGAGACAGACAGAGAGAGAGGGGGAGGCCCAAAGGCTTTCTGTGTTTATGTAACGCGCATAGTTTTAATGCCTCACTGATCTGCCGGTCAGCAGTTTTTCATCCAGCGGGTCACATGCTCAGAGTCCACTGCCCCGTACTGCAGAACGCTGCCGGTCCCAAATGAACAGAGGCCGCCAGAAACAGGAAACCCGCTGAAACGCCGCCTCCCCCCCTCATCCTCGTCACAGGGAGGATCAGCACGACCACGTTTGCTTTGGTGGAAGGACATCTGGCGCGCACAGGTGGAATATTGGACAGGTGTGAAAGTAGGGTGCAGAACCAGAAAGTAAAGGATATCTGTCCTTTTAACAAGCAGGTGATGATCTCACAACACAGCCTCATTAAAACATAAAAAAGAGATTCATGCAAAAGCAGAATATTCAAATTACGACACGTAATGCAATACAACCTTGAACGGATGAATTCAGGTTTAATTGATTTGAAATGGAAAATGTCCACACCTGCGCACGCTTGATTTAATGGGGGAGGAGCAGTTGTTTGTCCCCGCTGATTTCCCCTGTGAGCTCTGTGGGTAAATTAGCAAAGGAGACACAAGCACTGAAGTCGTGCGCTGCCTCCTCACAGCGCTGGATGGAAGGATGACTCACGCTCCTGTTCACTCATTCCCATTTGACCGGCCGTGGACTGCACCTGAATAATTTACACAGATGGTCCGTGTCCGAGGAAGCAGGAAAAAAAAAGTTGGAGCAAAGAGTACGTGGATTTAGAAGAGATTCTAAAAATATACAAGGCATTGGATGAGGAGAAGTTTCACCGATGAGTATTTTATTATTTCACCCAAATCCGGTAGTCGTGTGTCAACATTTAAATAGTAATCATAATAATAATCTCCTGGAAGTGAAAGCAAAGTCAACGCCGCTCATACTGTTTTATATCAAATCCATCATTCTGTTCTTCTGTCACTGTTGATGATGATGACGGGGAGGCCGGAGCATTAGGATGAGCCATAACTCAGTCGGCACAGATATGACTGAGACCTTCAGGGGGGATGATGAGGATGATGTCTATGCAGAGAGCGGACATATCACAGACCACAACAACGTTAAAACAATGTGCACGAGGACGGAGAGAACCATTCACTTTCCAAGTTCCTCCGGAGGTCACCGGGTCACCGAAAGCAGCGGCGTGCATCGCTGATAGCTGATAACGTAGCGGGTGAATACAGCTCTCGGGTTGTGCGTCTGTGTTTGTGCGTGCAGGCCACCGCGCTGAGCGATGGGGAGGACATTCCAGCAGCCACAGGCTCCTCTTCCTCTGCTGCACGATCACACCCGCACACTGTGTCGCCATAGGGTGAAACAGTGTAGATGACGAGAGGCACTTTGTGTGTCTGTGTGTGTGTGTGTGTGTGTGTGTTTATTGTGGACGTAGAGCAAGTAGGACCTTGGGCGACAGCTTACAGAAATTGATAGAGGAAGTTTGGCCTCGAGATGCGGAGAATGAAAATGAAGGAGAAGCGTGACTGACTGTGTTTCTTTCCCTCCGTCCGTCCGTCCGTGTGTGTGTGTGTGTGTGTGTGTAGGTCTGATGAGGAGATGGTGAAGTTCATGCACTTGATGAACTCCATCTGGAACATCTGCGGTAAAGACGTGGTCACGGCCTTTGACCTTTCGCCTTTCAACGTCATCTGCGACCTCGGAGGTATGTTTGTGTCAGCAGAATCTAATTTCCACAGAGTTCACAGCCGTCATGTTTATATTGTAGATTCTATCCAATTTTTTAACAGAAGAATCCTGTTTGAACTGAACAGCTGTGAATGAAAATGAGTGTGATAAAGATGTTGTCTCATAGTCATAGTTCGAACAATGCATAAACGCAGTGGCATCCTGGGCTGAATTCTTCTATGTGTTTTGTTGAATAAGATTTATTTATAAAGTGCCTTTGAACACAAGATTTATTAGAAATACAAGGAGAGCAGAGGGCAACACGGATAAAAAGGAGAGACAGAAGTACGATATAACAAACAGAACAAGAAAAAACCCAAGACGAGGACACGGAAGGGTCAAAAATAAAATAAAAAACGAAACGAGCAAAAATGAATCTTCTGATCTGTCACAGGACATTTGTGCTCCGGCTGAAAACAACATGACGGTAAAAATAAGGGAAAAGCTTTTATTATTGTACATATTCTATTTTGGGCTCCGTCTCCACTCTCGCACTAATGGATGATGGGTAATAAAGGAGCATTAATGCGACAGGAATAATGAGGTTTCCAAGAGAAAACGTTGAGTCTTCGGCTCTGCCCACTAGACCGAAGCCCACTCCGTGATCATCGCATTCAAACAGTCCAGCACATCACCCCATGAAAGCCCAGAATCCCCTCAGTGCTCAGTCACACCAGAGGCTGACATACAAGTATTGTGCAGACACCCAGACGGAACGTCTTTTTTGTTTATCCAGAAGAAGAAAGCCAAGTTGTTTAACCAATCTCCACACAAAATAGTCAGTCTCTCTGTTAATTCCTACGAAACGTTGATGTTTGGACGGAATGACGAGTATTTGAGTGTGTGTGACACCTCGTCTGACCACACGGGGGCGCTGTGGAGCCACTGAAAGCAGGCCATCACACACAGGCTTGTAGACAGGGACACACACAGACACACACATCCAGGGCTGTCCTTCTGTCCTTTCCCAGCATGAGGCTTGTGTGTTCATGTTTATGCATCGGGGTGCAGCACCGAGAGGCGCGTGTGCATGTGGACAGCGATGGGGGGGGGGGGGACTGCAGCGTCCCATTTTAAGACTTTGTCTCTCACGCAGCATCTGCCGTGTCTGCACACCTGCTGCTCAGGTGCTCCGGCTGTCCCTCTGTTTGTCCGTCTGTCCTCGTGTCTGCCGGCTTCAATCCAAATCAGAGTCCACAGTCAACGACTTCGTCGCTCGTGTGATGAAGGTGGTTTGGCTGCATTCGCATTCTGTGGCTTTATTTTAATGTGACATTTATTTCAGCTGTATGTTTTCCCTAAAAATGAATAATCGACCTAAAGGTTACTGCATTTCTAAAGAAACAGTATATCCATAGCTCCATAGCACAGTGGCTTTTATTTCTAAACACATAAATCCAGTAGCTGATAATCTACATAGTAGAAGAGGTTCATCCATCTCATCCGCACTCTGAAATATACTAGTAGTTATGCAATGCACTCCATCCGTTTTTATTTTATTGAAATTGTCCCGCACATGCACAGATAAATCCATGTCAAATTACACACAGTAAGAAGAGAAAAGAAAACAGTAGAGAAAGGAAAAGCCCACAATAACATTTCATGTATATCAAATATTGCAAGCGGCCATCAAAGGGTTCCATTAACAAACTGAGGCAGCCAGGTGAGCTCGGGGGCTTCTGCGCTGTGTGCTGTTTAGTTTTTACTTCTCTTCGGTGCCTTTTGATTTCCCTCCTCTGCTCACCTCTGTTTGATGTGAGAGAGTCTCTCTCTCTGTCTCTGTCAGTAATAAAAGGACAAAATATTTTTAAACCTACTGATTGCTGCGGTAACAGTTGGCCGCACACACACACACACACACACACACACACACACGCACACACAGACACTTTGCATCATCGGTTTGGCAAAGTGCAGATCCTTTGATCCTGTATTCCAGTGCTGAATTTCCATCACTCCACCCGATTCATACAATCTTCATATTCATCTCTTCCTCTGTACCATGAAATGTCTGTCCCCAATTCCTCTGCACTCAAACCAATGAGCTATTGGAGCCTCACAGTGTTACTGACAGAAATCAGCGGACCCCCTAAAGTCTGTAGGATAAATTCCATGGCGACCACGAACCTGCGCGACAAATTTCATTGCGATCCTTCCACGATGCAAGCGGCATGGATAACTAGAATTACACCCCGATGGTTGTATGCCACCTTGAACCAAACTAGATACTGTTTTCCTTCCAAAATGTCTCAATTTCATAATTTTATATTTTCTGTGAATCTGACCTTTTGTAACAGTTCATCCTTCAGTGGTGGTTTGTCCTACACTCCATGGTTCAACCACAACAGAAGAAAACAAATACTGTCTGTCTGTGTTTGTCTTCCCCTGGATTAGATTGTTAAGTTAGATCCACAGACAACGAGCTCTGCCCTGTTTCCGAATAAAGCATCTGGCTCTCTATTGCTCCATCAACAGTTCAATTCAGTCTGCTTTATTGGCACGAGTGTTTGATGAACCATATTCCCAAAGCCGCCACATAGATCTGAATCCAAAACATGCTAATACATATTCGGTACATACCTGAGAGCATCTGTTCCACTCGAGTGACTCTGCGTGTATTTGTGTGTGTAAGTGATGCACTACCTTGTTAATGAAGGTTATGTGTATTCATCCAACTACATCTAACTCGCTTTCTTTCTCTCGCCAGGCTGCAGTGGAGCTTTAGCCAAGCAGTGCACGTCAGCCTACCCAGAATGCACCGTGACGATCTTTGACCTCCCCAAGGTGGTGCAGACGTCGAGGGAACACTTTGTCACCGATGCCGACGGGAGGATAAACTTCTACGAAGGTGACGCGTTGCAGCGTTGGCCTCCCTTGACATTTATAATCACATACGGACAGTTCAAGTGGGATGCTTTACACACACACACACACACACACACACACACTAATTGTGGGAGGAGTTGCAGATTCCCTTTTTGCACAAAGTAGTTAAACTACTTGCAAGATAGCAATAGCAATGATTCAGCTGTGGAGAAGATAAACATCCTTTAAAGATCTTTGTCGTCAAATGAGGGAGACGCACTCACATGGTTACGGCAGGAAGTGAAGGCTATATGCTTTCCATGGGATTACAACAGACATCACCCGTTTGTGTTAATTATATTTCCGTATAACCACTGATTGCCTTCTTGTGGGAAGGCAATAACTGGAGCGTGCGGATGTGTTTAGGAGACTTCTTCAAAGACCCGCTGCCAGAGGCCGACCTCTACATCCTCGCCAGAATCCTCCACGACTGGACAGACGAGCGCTGCACGGAGCTTCTGAGTAGAGTCAACAGAGCCTGCAAACCGGGTCCGTGTGTGTGTGTGTGTGTGTGTGTGTGTGTTTCTGTGTGTGGGACGAGCACTTTTTTTTTTTTTAAATGAGATGGCAGATTGTATCCCACAATGCAGCTGATCCCAGAGAAATCTGTCCTTGTGACTGTGATCAAAGACAGACGCAGACACACACACACACACACACACACACACACACACACACAAAAGCAGCAGGCATTGTCAGGAGGCACAAAACATTAGTTTTTTCTCAGTAATGGGGGTCTGTGCTCGTGTGTGCATACACGACGAGAGAAGAAAACCAAATAATCTGTCAAATGAGGTTGTTTGTCAGATGGAAAAATACTGCAGACGTTTTAACCTGTCGCACAACCGTGTTCTTGATCAAATGAACGATGTCTCTGTTCCAATGATGATTGCGCTTTCAACGCAACTGTGCTCGAAAAGCCAAGAGGTCACCAACATCAGTGCTGCAGCGAAGCTGTCAGAGGCCCAGTGGAATCGGTCCGTGAGCGAGGAGAGCAATAAACGGCCGTTGTTGATCCGCACTGCAGGAGGCGGCGTGTTGCTGGTGGAGGCGCTGCTCCACGAGGACGGCTCCGGCCCACTGACGGTGCAGCTCTACTCCCTGAACATGCTCGTACAGACGGAGGGCAGAGAGAGGACAGCTGCTCAGTACGCGGCCCTGCTGGCCGCCGCCGGCTTCACCGCCGTCCGGCACCGCCTCACCGGGAAGATCTACGACGCCGTGCTGGGACGCAAGGAGGGATGAGGCTGCTCGGTGGCCGCGGGGCCCGAAGACTCACACCACCCCGGAAAATAACTTCTTTTTTTTTTTCTACTTTCCAAAAAAATGACAATAACATATTCTGTATTATCTTCATCAAAATCTTAGATCTCTGAAATACTCAAACCAAGGTGACTTTCTCTGGCCGCCCAATCCAGGATACGGTGAATTCTGGACAATCGTGCCTCATTTTAAATACATTTATTCTGTAAATAAAAAACACCAAGCCGGAAAGTTGTGCTGTCGTATATCTGCAATGAGCTTTGGACAGAGGAATAGAAAATCAGATGTAAAGTAATGCCTGATAACAATAGTTCATTTCCAGCTAAAGAAAAGTATTTCTTTTTCCCGCTAAAGCAACAAATAATAGTTTATGGTCAAATTGATTCATTACTTCTGTGACTCATTAGCACTAAGATAGAATAATTGTATTATTACAATTCCAGTAGCATGAAGAGTAGGGGTTGGTGAAATCCACAACATTATGTCAATATTAATAACACTTTTGAATTTGAACTTGAATTCGATTGAGCCGATGCCAAGCTGACTTTGGGCGACTGCCTGCTTGATCGGTGGCACATGGAGAATGACCGACCACAAGGGAGATTTAGTGTCATGATTAAACCCAGGATGCGTCATTTAACACCAACACCGGCATGCAACACCATGCAGAAGGTCTGCTTCGCTTTGGTTCCTCTTTAGCCGAACACCCTGCATGCTAACAACGAGGCCCCCAAACCTGCATATTCCATCCGTCATTTAAGTCTGTTCCAAATGTTCTCACTCAAGTAAGAGACTGATCCCAGTGCAGCCTGATTCTCCCGTGGACGATTAGTCGCACGCCGCCGAGGTCGACCTCTGTCGCTTCTTTACATATCCGTCCTCATCAGTCAATCCTAAATCGCGTGTCAGAGGCTCTCGCCTCTTGCCGTTCTTTCAGCGCAGTAAAGCTGTCTCCGAGAATCCGTAAATCTTCCTTCCAACGAACCCGGGCCGTCTTTCATTCCGCCCGTCTCCTCGTCTGCAGATATCAGCCTTTTATTAAATTCCGCCCGTCATTGTGCTCCACCTCTGATGTGTGAGCGTATCGGCACAGAACTGTTTGTCAGGGAGAGACTTCATTACTGGAAATAATGCACATTCATTTGCATGAATACTGAGTGTAATTTATAAAAGGCACACCAAAAGATAATGGCGAAAAACATCAGTTGTCTTACTCCTCATCTGAAATATCAGCTGCTAATAATGTCTGCTCTACATTCATCACCGACTTTCTCCACCTCTTTTCTACACTGCCCTCTTTGTCCCCGTCTCTCCTTTTTCTCCCGGTAATTGTGAATTAATCAGACTTTTCAAAGTGCAACAAATTAGAATTGATGTCAAATCCTTTTGGACAGCTTTACAGAGAGGCGACCTAATGAAGGGAAATGAAATGCTGGGGCCGGAGAGACGGCTTGACCTGTGCAGAGTCTCAGGGCCCCGGAGACATGGTGCAGAATGTACAGCGTCCTGGTGGTGAACTGGCGCTGGAGCGTTGAGGTTTTTCAGAATCTTACCTTGAGGATAAAACACTTTATCATTTCAGCAAAGGTAGGTCGCATTAGAATTAATCCAAATCTGCAATCGTATACTTATAACCTGATTTAACTTTTCCTCTGATTCGTAATCTTCTACTCACACTGAAAGTGGATTAAATAAGAATTCTATTTTTTTCATGTCTTCACAGAAAAAGTTAAAAAAGTTAACTTCTGGATGAGAATGTTCGACGGCTTTGATTAAAAGAACCTAATTATTCTTCCGAGAAAATCGGGGTCAGGATATTGGAGAAAAGATAATTGTGTGAAGGTCGTCATATAAAACCACTCAGCGAGGATGTGAAACTTGGTTGCATTAACACAAACTTCGCTCTGCCTTTTCTTAACCGCTGTGGAGAATGTGAAGAAGGAATTCTGTGAGAGCATCGCTTCCAGTGCTTCTCCCCCTCGCTTTTTCTTCAATGATTTACACTCTGGTCAATGTTTTCCACCTCAGCGGAGAGGGTTGCATACATTTCTCCTCTCCGCTTCTCAGTTCCATTTACTGCTTCATCTCGGGAGACTATTACGGTGCCGGGCTCAGGTTCAACCTCAGTGGGTTTTATGGTCCTAGGAAGTTATATAGCTATATATATATATATATACACAACTGCAAGATGCTTCATTGCAATAACGCAGAGATGGCACTGATTATGTTTGTGTTTGGGATTGTGAGTCCTCACACATTCATGAGCGCATGGGGAAGTATATTCCCGTCTTGGAAATAGATGAAAAGAAAGCAATGATACAAAAACAGCTCTTAATTATGACGGGGTAAGTAAAAAAGTACGACTTAAGGCCATGAGCGTGTGTCAGCGTGTGTTACGCGGTGTTGATGCTAATGTCTTCATTTAGGACATCATGTGTGCACACGGCTGTGTCTACTGTGTGTGTGTGCGTGCTCTGTACTACACTCTAGATACACACAAGTCACGCACCATGCACCCTCCAGCTCCAGGATGCCACTTTAGGATAACAACTTTAGGGCATTTTAGGTGACACGATTTATGCCTAGAGACTGTGTGTGAACGTGTGTGTAAGTTTTCCAAGGAAACTAAAAGTTTCTAACCTGTTTTCATTTTTGGAGCAGCAGGAGCTTCGTCCACGATCAGAAAAGTCATTGAGTTTCACAACATGGAAGAGCCATCTCCCTAGTTCTTGTGTGCTATTTTATACGAATATTATATATATATAGTTTTGGAATTTTACTGCTTTTAACACTTATGTTAAGTTAATTCATTGCCAGAATAATTAATTATTAAGTTTATGAACAAAAACTAACATGTTAATCACTAGCAGTAGCGTTGGCTCAAGCCTTTAAATTGATCAAAATGACTCATTAAATTCATCAAAGATGGAGAAATATAATATTTACATAATTAAGTTTATGTATCGGGTTACCGATTTCCCAGAGTTTCTCTCTGATTTTCATCTGCGTGTGTTGCCATAGTAACCTGACGGGCTAAGTTTAGCTGTATAAAAAACAAAAAAAAACATTGCCTTAAAGACTGACAGTTTACCTTTTGTCACGTGACCTATTTATTTTTCGCATTTCAGTCGCACGGCCTAGAACGAGCAACAGGACCCAGATACGAGCTCCACAGAAACGTCTGAAACTGGAAAACGACACGTGGAGTGTAAAACCGTTTGTGTGCGGGCAGTTTGGCGGGACGACAAACGGGGCTTTCATGCCGCCGGCGTGGAGACAAATGTCACAGCGAGGAGACCTCGTTCAAACGGTGGGAGGCTGTGACGGCAGTGGGAGGGACGGAGAGGAAGACTGGGGACGAGAAGAGAGAGAGGTGATGTGTCTTTTCATCACAACCGCGAGCGCACACACACACACACACACACACACACACACACACACACACACACACACACACACACACACATCTCACAACTCAATAAAAATGTCTCTTGGCTGTAAGCTGTGCTTTGTAACTTCCAAACACTTCCATAATTCATGGACTGCTGACAGCAGTATTGAACTGATGACAAAGATGTCTTCCCCGTGGGCTACACACATGCACACACACACACGCATGCGCACGCGCCGCACACGCACGCACGCACACACAAAGGTGGTCGGTGGATTTCCCTGAGCTGCTTATAAAGAGAAACAGAGGATGTATGTTAATGGCGACCTTTGGACCAGTGAGTGTTTATGTTTCACTTTGATAATGACTAATCCCTCCATGTTTGCCCTTCCTCTTCCTTCTGTCACTTACTGTTGCTTCTGTTTTTTGTATCCTTGTCCTGCCCCCTAGCGTGACTAACTACAGTCCATCTCATGCACACACACACACGCGTGCACTGTGGTAGACGTATTCTCAGCCCCAAGGTTATCACTTCTGCTCCTGGCAACGTATCACCCCTTCCCCTCCCAAGAAAAAGGACCAGGGACAGAAATACATCCGCGTCCCTGTTTTGACGTCATTTGATCCTGCTGGCCAAAGTGTTGTTTCCCTGCACGCTTCACACGAGTCCAGCGTTGGTTTTCGGTGAAGCGGTCGTCTCACGCGCATGGATTTTTTTTTTAATTCGTGAGCATCAGTGAACACAATTGTAAATTAAAGACCCACCACTGAGTCCACTTTGTAATGAAAGCATGTGTCAATCGATTGGGTTCAGACGCCTGGAGGAATGGAATATCCATTACAAATATCACCACCCATGCGTGCACGTAGAAGTAACGCGCATAGATGTATTCATTTGTTCACAATTTGTTTCCTGAAACCCCCCAAAAAAGGTTATTTACATGTCTCAGTAGTTTATTTTATTTGTGTTAACGTGCAGACGAGTAATTCCAGCAGAGTTACAGCAGGAAGCGCTCAGCTGTTATTGGCTCTGGTTTGCAAGGATCGCTCCATCTCGTACAAACGATGATTGTCAGTTATTTTGAACTGTTAAATCAGAGTCACTTGGTAATGATTACTGTCCTTACACCGATATATTGCCCCCCTTTGATTGCTAACTGATGGTTGTTTCCCAGGTGATTTGCTAGATTAGTGATGCTGTGTTGGAGACACAAATGGAAAATCTTTCAACTTTGTGACTTAACGGCAAAGAAGGCCAATTATTATTGCCCGTAACGCTGCACAGAACACGGAGTGCATCGCATGCACGGATCAGCTACTGAGCCGCGAGGCGGTTAAATGGATTCAGTTGCCGCATAGGTGATTATTCACAGGAGCATCTGGCCTTTTTAAAAGAGCACACTTTGTTTCAGCCAACCAACAGCCCGACGGATTAACATATATCCACCGATTGTTTCCATCGGTGCGTAAATGCCAGGGTCGCCCTGGTCCTCGTCCCCCGAGGGAACCACAACGGGCGAAGTAAGAAGGTGGGCAACCTCCAGGGAAACTAAAGTAATATTCATAAAGCACATATCTGTAAGCTTAACCCTGCGGGGGGAAAACACGCACCCACTCTTCGAAACGATGCGTCCCACACGTGCCACTGATCTGTATTATACTGTCGTGTTGGTACATCCACAAAGGGGAAATGACTCCCACTCGTTTAATTCCGTGGATTATTAGCCGCCTGCGCTCATGTTGACGTGGCGTGTGGGTTTGAGCAGCGAGGGATGGAGGCTCGGCTCGGCTCTGCTGCAGAACTCTTTCAACTCCCGTCTACATTTTGCAGAACA